CATCTGAAGAAAGATGACTGGGGATTTCCCGGAGTCAAAAGGCCAGGGGCTCAACCTCTTGTGTCTGAATGTGATCTCGACTCTTCTATACATTTTTTTTTGGTAGGGGGAAGTTTTCTGGAGAAAAGCAAACAATCCCTCCTAGTTTACGTTTCTTTGGCACGAGCCACGTGAGCACATTGGGCCTGGGCTATTTCTGGAGGTGTGCGTGTTTGGACACACGCAAGTGTGGCTGTCTGAAGCCACCAGGGTCCTTTGCTGGGGCAGAGCCCAGGGAAAGGAGGGTGGAGAGTAGGTCACTGAGTCACGTGAGGGGCCGTATCCCAGACTCCAGCCAGAGACCTAAGCAAACCACTGCACACCAAGGGCAGCAGGCTTCCTCCTGAGGCTTTCTCTGCAGACATCAAACAAGAGACGTGCTTTCCATGCTGGGCGCCTACACCACCCCGATCCATTTAGACTTCTATTTCTGGGAGCTGATTTTTCTCTCTCTCTCTTTTTTTTTTTTAAACCCGAAGCTATTTTAAATCCGCATCCAAGTACAAGCGACTGAACTTGAACTGCTCTCAGGACGCCGTCTGGGCCAGCTCTGCTTTAGACCCTGACTGCCAGGGAGGACCTTGAGCCAGGGATGTGCTCCCCCGAGAGAGGGGGGAGGTGGCTCTCCGTCCCCCCACAAGGTGTCCTTCCTCTCCCCCCTGCCCCCGTGCATTTGTGGGAGGGTCTGTGAGGCCAAACCCTGGAGAGGAGCTCCTTGTCCCTCTAATCCTCCTGTGGTCTGTGCCCCCCGCCCCCCAGCTGTGTGGCCTGTCATCTGAGGAGACCAGTGCCTTTTCGTGTTTTATACATTTTATTCATACATTTCTCCAACTTTGAAATGACAAAAGCCCAATTCTATGGTTTCCCATTACACAGCATCCTACAGGTATGTATATTCTACAAAGAATACTATGGAGTTTCTCTTCCTCCCCTGTCACACAAGAGATAACCGATGAGAGTTCCATCCATCTGTACTGTAACTGGCCGCGCACCAGCGGTCCGGTGGTTCCGGTGACAGGGCAGAGGGATCAGGGCGGGAGGGCGTGTGCTAAGGCATGTAAATAGATACACACAGAAAGAAAAGCGGGACATTTACAGAGAATCCGAACCTTTCCGATCCCCTCACCTCCTGGGTGTTGAAGGACCCCTCCTGCACGAATGCTCTTGTGCGCTAAGGCTTTGCTGTACCCTGCAAATACTTACAATCGGAAATGGTGAAATATACAACAACTGTTAACATCGCTCTCTTTTTATCACTGAGACAATACTTCAAAACCTTTTATAAAAAGGCAATTATACATACAGAGAAAAGAACACGTTGGCAAAACTTTATGCAAAACGACCCCAGAACTGAGTTTGAAGGGCGACACACCTGCATTGCCATTGAACACGATGGCGTGGCCTCCGCGTGGGTCCGGCCGCTGCCCCCCCGGCCCCCCCCCCCCCCCCCCCCCCCCCCCCCCCCCCCGCCACCCGCCACCCGCCCGCCCGGGTGTCATGCCAGGACACAGCTGAGACTGGAAGTCTGTTCCCCCAGTTCTTGGTCTCTTCAAAATGAAAACAAGAGGTGGGGCCCCTCACTGTGGAGGAGCACACCTTTCTGCTCCCAAGCAGAACTCCTTGTAAGAGGCTGCACGTCCCCTGCGCCTCGAGCCCGTCAGCCCCAGGCCTCTCCTGCGGGGAGCGCAGACTCGGTTCCTTGGCCGCAGGCCGGAGGGAAGGGACCAAACACTTGCTCTCTGAGCATACATCGCTACGGAGTTGTGCTTGGGGCCAGAAACGGGGTCTCCTGTGTGGTGACAAATCTCTCTCCATTTTCTTTTGCTCAGTCCATTTGCACAGGTTCAAGAGGGTTGATGGAGGGTCAGGTGAGAGGTGGGGGGGGCGCGCTCTGGATTTTCTCTGCCTCCGAAGGGCTAAGACTCGGCAGTGCCTGTCCTAGAGGTGGCGTGGCCCCCCTCCCCGAACCCCCCCCGCGGGCCCTGGTCTGCCCACCTTCTGCGGCCCAAGAGCAGCGGAGAAAGGAGCAGATGAAAGGGATGGGGGCCGGTGAACATACCCTTCGTGTCCCTTTCTTCTGCTTCCTGGATGCGGGCCGCAGCCGGACTTCACTCATGAAGCCCGAAGACCCGAGACCTCCGAGAGCTCCAAGTTTAAGGCAAACCGTAAGTGAGCAGGGGCCAAGCCAATGGAGTAGGCCTGATGGGCACAGTCCCTGAACCGGAGACCTCAAATGGAGAGGAAAATCTTACTTCCAAAGGGGTGAGAAAAGGAAGAGTTCTACCAACGGAAATGATTCACGATGAAAGCTTGTAGCCCTTCTGCAAGCTGCGTCAAGAAGCAGAATGCCTTTCAAAGAGAATTAATTAGAGGCGCAGAACAAGAGAAAGGCGCTCAGGGACCCTTAGTCTATGACAGGCCGTAATCAGCCTCAGTATGTGAAGCCCTTGTGAAGAGGATGGAATTAGGAAGCTGTGTTCAGTTCTGGAAAAACAGACTCCTCGCCCGCCCCCCAACACACACACTTGCGTTTGATGATAGGAAGCAAGGAGGAAGAGGGATGGGAACCGGAAGTGGCTTGTTTTGGAATGCCCATTGCCAGGTGCCTTCCCTTTCCAAGGGGGGCTGTGTGGGAGGCAGTATAATTAAGAATTTATTAATGAGAAAATCTTCCTGCTAGCGTTAGCAGCACGTTCTCTTTGCCCCAAGAGATTGACCTGAAACGAAGAAAAGGACATCACATTGGTGGGAGACAAGAGAGTTTGCTTTTGGGCTGCCTGTCCCCAAGGGGCTGCGTCCCCTCTGGGCATCTCCGCGGTCCCGTTTCCCCGAGGGTGGCTCCACTGACTAGACTTTTTCAAGGAATGAACTCGAAGCCTTGATGAACATGAACAGGTAACCACGAACGATTTGAAAAGCAAATAAGCACTCTCCTCTGCAGTAATGAGATCAGAGGCTTTCCTAAGATTGCCGGGGGCGGGGGGGGCGGGGCGGAGAATGAGGCCACACCCAAGGGGCCGCCCTGCGTTGGGAGCTGGGGCTGGACGTGGGGAAGAGGAGCACCTGCTGGGTCCTTCGTGCAGCGCAGGCTCTTCATTCTCTTTGGATAACCCGCCACCAGTAGGATGGGCTCTGAATGCAAGTAGCAAGAAGTAGGTCACCCATTTCTTTTCTTCTCTGAGCCAATATTTTAAACCATCTCATCTGACAGGAGATACATTTAATTCTTTTAAAAAGCTACCATATTACCTTGACACTGAGACAACTTCCAGATGAATTGAAATGAGTGACATTTTCCTTTTTAGTGTTAAAACTGAATAGGCTGTGCGTGCAAAGGAACTACTACATTATTAAAAAAAATCAAGACCCTTCCTCATAACAAATGATTCTGCATATTAAAAACAGCCCCTTTTTTGCTGTGGGGGGTGGGAACCCTCCGGAATATGGCTTAACTGACCAGTGATAAGATTTGATAATTGTAATCATTTGCTCTGGTCTTTAAAATGTGGGGGGAAAGTGATTTTGCTGATGGAATGGAAGCAGTGAAGACGCTTTTTAGTAATTTGCTTGCTTAGTGGATGACTGTGATGTAGCAGCAGCAGTTCTGCTTGGGAATTATTCTGAATTTAAGTATTTTCTGTTGGGTCGTAAAGACATTACTTCCCAGAAGGGCCTGTGTGAGTGGAATGGAGCCGATGAGCGCCTTGAGAGGTTCGGCCAAGATGAGTTCTGGGTGCCGGGCTTTTGCCACCCGCACGGGGTGAGCGCGGTGCCTGCCTGTGTGCTTCCAATCGAGCGCTAAGTGCTTCTCAGTCCTGGGGCCACAGACATTGAAACTGGCATTGTTTTGCTCTTCTTCTGCTTGATCCACCTGTCATCGTGGCTTAAGATGGGCATCCTCAGCATCTCTGGAGATGTGGCCTCCAAGGGCCTGAGAGGGGCTGTGGGCGTTTCTAGCAGAGGGAGGGAGTTGGTGTTCCCCACGTGTTAGCTGTAATTTTCTTTGTGCTTCATTGGAAGAGAGGTAGAGCGGGCGCTTCCACACCGAGAAGAGCCCGGATTGTGGTCAGTACCATCAGGGGAATGACTGCCTGGCCTTGGCGTTGGTTAGATTGAAACCAATCCTAACACAGCTCCAAACAACTCTGGGGGTTTCCCTTCTCCATCCAGGGTGTCTCTGGCTTGGCGGTTTGGTCCCCCTGCTGGGGGGCCTCTACAGAAGCCGTTCCCGCAACACCTGGGAAGTTGCAAACTCATCCGGTCATTGACAAAGGACGACATCAGAGAGAGAGAGAGAGAGAAAGAGAGAGAAAGAGAGAGAAAGAGAGAGAAAGAGAGAAAATCACCGTTTAAGAAGAGTCAGTGGGAGGGGAGGGGGACACCCGAAAAGGAGTCTACAACTGCCTTCTGTGTGTGGTCCTTCAAGAGGACCTGTGCAGCTCAGAAGCCACCCTGCACATCCTGCCAAGGCACAAAACAAGGCCATCTAACCGACAAGAAGCGACCTGGATGGTATTGCCTCAAGGATCCCAGGTTACCGGAACCACTTCACACCCTGCCACTCTCATGAAGAATCTTCCACTGACCTCCGGCCAAGAGTCAGAAAATCCCCGCCTGCATCTCCTGGGGTGGAAGAATGGGACCTCGTGGAAGGGCGATGAGATGGTTAATGTCTCTAAAGCAACAAGGACAGATGGTTCTCCTGTGCCAAGGGAGCTAGCAAGAGGAAGGAGCAACCACAGATGGCCTCCAGCACACGGTGGCCCTCGGGCGCACTGCGCTCTGGGAGCCAGACGCGGTCCAAGCTGTGCTCTGGCGGAGTGTTGTGTTGTCCTGCCAACTGAGGGTCACTCCTGGGCCTTCTGTGGTTCAATGAGCATCTAAAAGATTATCTAAAAGATCATCGGCTTGTAAACCTGAACAAATCTATAATGAAATGAAGGACCCAAAGGCATTTAATTATTGAACACATAAAAGGAAGTATATTTAAAAAAAAGTTGGTCAAACTGTCCTGTTAGTTATCATTTTAAAGGAATTTACAGGGCTGTTTAGATTATTCTTTTGGAATAATTCAGTTTATAGCAAATGCCTAAACTGGTTTCTTCATTGCACAGTATATTCTCTTAAAATGGGTGCTTTAAAACAATTACATACATATGAAAAATCCTCATTTCTTTGCTTAATTAAAACGTTAATACTCTCAGACAACACAGATCTGAAATGGTGAAACCAGCAACTCCCCCTCCCACCTTACAACAAATTAAATTGAGACAAAATTACAAACACATTTCACTATATGATTATTAATAAAAATCAGTTTTTTTTTATAAAGTTGCCCGAAATGCAAGGGATGTGCATAGGTTTACAACTTAGTCATAATAGCATTTTATTCTTATTCCCCTGGGTGTGCCCCGTGAACGGAATGTACTTTGCTGTAGATTACAGATTGTTTTGTCCAACACAGACACACCAACGGCATAAACGCTCGCGACTGTCCACATGCATTAAGAGTCAAGACCCAACTTCAAATCTCTAAAAGGTTTACAGGGTGCTTCAAAGAGACAGTATCACATTATCTGGATGTTACATAAAGGACTTAAAAAAAAATACTAGTCTAAGAAAAAAAAACGAAAAAAGGCCTTTAAAAATTTATGACTGTTTTGTAATCACTAGACTGATTATTTCAAATAAATAAAGGAAAGAAAGTTATTCCAATCCATAAAATCAGACTCTAAAAAGAATGTAGTGTTCCACCCCCAGTCAAGGTAACAGAATCATTGTTTATTATTAAAATAGATTATAGAAAGCAGCATCTATTTTGTGCAGTTTTTAGGGGCCTTGGAAATAAAAAGCTATGATTTCCAAAAATATAACATTCCAAAGGATTGAATGATACATACATTTAAAGATACATTTTATTAAAGTTTAGGAGAACTGATTAAAAAAGATACTGTCTCTTTAAATTAGTGTGTAATTGTTTTTCTCCTCCTATCTATTCGGACATGACAATAATTATAAATGGAGGTCACACTACAACTAGGTAGTCTCTAGGGACCATGACCTGCTGACACAAGGCCGATAACAAAGAGGCTTTTCCACGGATGAGGCGGCTCCCGGGTAGGCGTCAGGTAGCTGGGGAGAGGCCTAATAGACCCAGGAGACCGGGACCCACTGCGGGGCTGTGCACACGAGCTCAACGGCTTCCTCCAGATGTCTGATTGTCTCATCAATTTCATTGTTGATAATTGTGAGATCGAAGTAGTGTGCGTATGTTCTCTGTAGGATATCGGACTCCTTCTGCAGGCGCTGGAGAGACTCATCCTAAAGGGCGAGGGGACGGAGGGCGGGGTGGGGAGGGAAGGGAGGAGCAAAGAGGGGACAGAAGTCAGCCGGATTCTCTTTCCACAGTTCTGCTCTTCCCAGGGGCAGACACGGTCAAGGCCAGACCTTGATGTGCTGCATCAGGGTACGAGGCCGAGTCTGCTTCGTGACCAAGGCGACAACGGGCCCCGGGATGGCAGGGTTACAGAGGAATGGCCTGCAGCCCGCTGGCTCCCCCTGCAATAGGAGCTCCAGGCCCCCCGACCCCCCCCTCCCCGGACCAGAGAGACCAGACCGTCTTGGGCACACACAACGCCCCCCCCACCACGCCCGGCGCCCCGCACCTCCCTCGGCCCTCTGCACGCGCCAGCACCGGGTCCCGGAGCCCCACTGCGTTTGCACCAAGAAGCCGCTGCCTCTGGCCAACAACTTGGGTTGTATTTTCCCCTTTTCTACTTCGAGGTCCAACGTGTTTCAGGAATTCAGTTACATCTAATGGCCGGCACTCAACAGCAGTGGATGCCAGAGGCAAAAGCTTTTTGGGTGTTTCAAATAATGGATGAAATGAGGCCATTTCTCAGCGACCATGGCAAGGAGCATCTGAGGAACCCCCTCGCAGCCGTCTACACTGGAGACTGCCGGACACGGGGCGCTGGGTAGGAGGACCCGAACCTCTGCGGGAAAAGCAGCTACGGAGCTCTCGGGCGCTCGGCTGCAGGGAAGGCCTTTCCTCCGCCCCTACGGCTTGCTGTGGATTTGGAGAGCCCTCCCCAGGCTGAGCGCACAGGAGGCGGCCCTGCGGGGTCCTTCGTTTGTCCCATGAGTTTCACTTTAGCCTCAGGATGGCAGTTCTTTCAAGACTGGGATCCCTTAAGGGCCACCAGAAAGTCGGCCTCTGGGTCTTCATGGGGCGGATACTGTTATGCTGAACTTTCAAGGGACGAATTCAAATTTGAAGCCAGAGAACTCCTAAGTCAACATTTCCCCCTCTCCCCCAGCACCAGGCGGGTCACATGTCGGGCTGAGACACATACGGAGAGATACGGCTCATACCTGCTTGTCTGATTAGCATCTCTCTCCCCAACTAGAGCGTCAGCTTGTCCCGTGTGCCCTGTCATCGCTGTGCCCAGCACTTGGCATTGCGCCGTGTACACAGTAAGCGCTTACTAGATGTTCCTTAAAAGAACAAGCACTTGGCTAACACTGGCCATGACAGGGTTTGAGGAGCGTTAAATCCATCATCAAGACAGAAAGCTATGCTACTAGGAAATGGAGGCCCGTGATGACACAGACGCCCCTCCAGAAAAATGAAAGGATGCGGTGCCTTCAGGAACTTGGGAGCCATGGTGCCCCCAGCTGGCTTAGGACCCCTCCTCTTCTCTGAGGCCCATCCATTATTTGTGAGAAACCCTTCCTGAAGAGCCCCGGTCTGTGGGTGCAACTCTCTGGAGAGGGATCGAAAGTGAGGTCACTTGATCCCATGGTGGCACCGCGGCGGGGGTGCATGGACAGCAGGGAAGCTGGGGGCTCCATCTGCTCTATCAGGACGCTCTGAAACGAGTGTCCTCCGTGTTTGGTCGCCTTCTACTGGGATGTCACAGCAGGGCATCGTATGCTTGGATGTTGGCTGTTAACGGCTACGGTGTAGATAAGACCTCAGTTAATCACCACCTTCTAAGGTCCTATCAACACACTCTCCGCTGGCGCCTAAAAAGCATAGTATTTTCACTGTCGCTTTACTTTACCGCAAACAACATAAAAGCCCCGTTTTGGGAAACACTCATTCGTCCGAGGCCGGGAGCGCTTCTTGCCCGTGTGAGAAGATACAGTTCCCAGCGCGTCACCCTCTGGGCTAGAGGATTCCACGGAAACCCAGGCCCGGGCTTCAGAAAGCACCAGCAGAGTTTATGATTTGCTCCAGGAGCTGGGCTGATGAAAACATTCGAGAAAATTTACAGCTGATGGCATCAGTTTTTATTGGAATTCTCTTTACGGAAAAAGAGCGCTTTCCTCTTAAGGCCCGTATAAGACAGAATTGTATTCGTGGGTTTCCTCCTCGACAACAGCCCGTCTGCGGGCTTGCCTCATGCACCAGCAGGGTTCAACTCAGTGAAAACAAAATGCCTCTATTCTAACAGCCAAAGCCAGGATTTATGGGAAGAGAGGGTCTACATTCTAAATCTAGGGAAGAAAATGAGGCTGTATTTCATCACCTCCTAGCTGGTACTTACGGGCAGTTTTCTGCACCATTTTGGCAGCTGTGGAAAGTTAGTAAAAGGGCGGGAAAATAGGCAAAAAACAAAAACAAAAAAAGCAATGATAACTCAAAAATACACGGCACCCAAAGGAAAAGCGCTAAGCACAGTGCAGGGCTTCGGGCATGCTGGTGTATTAACGAACACGGGAAAAGTAGAGCTCATGCAAATGAAAGGACTGAAAAGATGAGTAACCTGCACGTGTAAAGACTGACTCTTCCTTACAGGTACACAAAGCGCCATTTCCAAGCCTTGATTGTACTGTCACTTAGCTTGGGGGGTTTAGAGGGGTGATGACCGAACAGAGCCGAGAGCCCTCTGCTGGCGGGTCGGCCCAGCCGAAGCAACGGATAACCCCGCGCAGGAGCCTCAAGAGTGAGCCTACGGCAGGTGGGCACCCACGCTCTTACCAGACACACCGAAACTCCCTCAGCGTCCGCCCAGCCACGACAGGCCCTCGGAGTCAGTGGGTGCTAGAGGGTGACGCCAACTCTGGCGAGCACCATCCCTGCGCCGCCGAGCTGAGCTGGCCTGAGAGGGGACAGAGCTCGTCTCTGGGTGGGGCCGTCTCCGGGGACCTGCGTGGGTCCCACTCCAGAGGCTGCCTCGGGGCCCTCGGGCCAAGGTCCTGGCTTCCTTAGAGCTCTCTCCCGGCAAAGCGCTCTTTGGCCTAGAGCCGGGCCTGGGGGTGGCGCCTTTCCTCCCCGGTGCCGTTGGGAGGGAGTGGGCCGGGCCGGCCTCTGCCCCTCCATCCAGCGGCTGCCTGGGACGGCGCTTTGGTCCGGAGCGTACAAGGCCCGGGGGGCGGGTGGGGGGTCCTTGCGCCGGGCGGCGGACGCGCAGAGCCTTACCTCGTTCAGACCCGGAGTGATGGTGGGCGCGGCGATGAAAACAACGAACGGCGCGAACTCGGCGGTTCTCAGGACCTTGAGCGCCTGCGGATGGAACACACGGGAGACTGAGACCCAGAGCGAGCGGGTGCGGCTCATGAGTCACTTCTGGCGAGGCAGGCGTACACTTACCAGCCGCCTCAGTAACCCCTCGGACTCCTTTCCTTCCCGAGGATGGAGGGCGGCCACCAGCGAGTAAAAGGGGACAGACCGGACATTTATGACTCTCCTGAATCAGTCGGACTGCCTTTTCTTCAGAAAGGTCAACACCGACTGCGAAGGCTAATGTTCATTTAAGCCTGCCTGTGAACACTAGCCCGCCTTGGGAGTGTCGAGGAAATGCGCTTCGGGTGGACCCGGGCCAGCAGCTGGCTCTGCCCTGATCTACAGCCCGCTTCACCATAGCTTCACGTTCAAATTGCTAACGGGGCTAGCATGCCCTGGCCCCGGGCTCTGCCAGGCCTTCTGAGTCCCCCTGCCGACAGGCTGCGGCGGGGGGGGGGGGGGGGGGGCGGCGGCCCGGAGACCTGGTCCAGGGCTGGAGGCTGGAGCCATTATAGGCGCTCTGAGGCCCCAGGTAGTTGGCAGGCCCACAGGAGGGGGCTCAGAGGCCGGTTCAGTTCCCCTCCCAGGCATGACCACCCGGGACAGCGCGAGCTCCCGGTCTGCAGGGACGCGGTGCCAAGCTGGTGCACCGTGCCCCAGGACTGGATTCTGGTACGGACTTACTCATCAAGCTCCCCGCATGAGGACGTGAGCCTCCCAGGGCTTGTGGCCTCCCCGCCACAGAACAAAACCCCAGCATCCGCAGGCACACACTTCACGAGGGACCGGTGTGTCACTGATTTGTCTGCGGGGGGCCAGGGGGGGGTGAAGGACGCCTTGCTGTCCTTTATACAAGCATGTACGGTGTCTATTCTGTCATCTGCATCGTTCGCTTTGCCCTATTCCTATTCCTCCCTCTTTTGCGTGGTTTACCATGGTAGCAATTAGACGGGTCACTCTGCCTCTGTACTAAAGCCCGCCGCTAGAATGATCGATCTTTCAGCGAGGCAAATCCCACCGTATTGCTGCTCTGCTCCAAACCCTTCCAGGGCTCCCTCTTGGCCTGGGGATAGAATGTCCGTTCCTTAGCATAAATGCCGGTTCCCTCCCTCCTGCACTGGTCTGTGCTTCCCTCATCCCCTTCCCCTCTGTGGACTGGCCTTGCTGAACTACTTCCAGTTCCAGAAAGGGCCATGCTCTCTCTGGTTTCCCAGCCTTTTTTCTTACTACTCCCTCTGCCTGGACCCTCTGTCCCCATTCTCCCTTTTGGCTTGGCTGAGTGAGCCTTCGGCACTTGGCACTGGTGTTCTTTTGTCTTAGTCCTTTTTGAGTTCAGAGCCAGGTCAGGAGCCCCTCCCGGTTCCCCCCTGGGGTACCCGCCACACACGCAAGCGCCCGGACACTTGACGGTGAGCTTGAGGGCAGGGGCTGGGTCTTGTTTGGTTGCCTCCCTCGTGCCCTACACGGCACCTCACATAAACGGTCTTTATGCTGAAATGAAAGTGTAAAAGCGGCATGAACGACTGGCAGAAAATGTTCGACTGTTGGGCACTGGGCTTGGTGGCTAAAGGGAGCCTCCTGGGCCTCTGAATATACAGGCTCGGGAGAGACCATCAGGATGATAAAGGTTTAGTGCAAGGTTCATGTGCGCTGGGGTTAGGTTTCTGAATCTCGTGACCCAGGCGCTCCTTGGGGGCTACGGGAGCCTGGCATGTCTTGTCACCTGTCAGATCACAGTGCTTCAGTTGTGAATGTCACACTCCCCTCTGAGAAAGCTCTTCAAGCCTGCCTATGTTCATTTTTGACAGAGATAATTGGCAATTTCTTTGCCAACCCTTCTGTGATTGATTGAAGACTTTAGCAGGGAATAAACACCATGGAAAAGTGCATCGCTTGAGCTTAATGGGGGAATCTTCCTTTAGAAACCCTTTTTGTCAGTATTATCTTGGGCCTCCCCCCCCGCCCCACCCCCATCCTTCCTGTGTTCATTGGTCAGGAGGCTACAGGGTCCGTGGAGACAGAAGGTAGCCTCATCCACCCACAGCCAGCCTCTGGGCAGCTAGGCGGGTTGGATTTTCCAGCGCACAGTTCCTCCCCTTGCTTCCGTCCCCGACTACCCAAGGGCTGGATGGGAGGTCCGCACAGCCGCGATGCTGAATGGAACCCATGGGTGAAGTTGAGGAGAACACCCCAGGCGTGAAGTGGTCTTCTCTCTGCTCAGTGGCCCCAGCCTGCCAGCCACCCAATTCTTCGAATTATCTTAAGTTCTAACCTGCTCTCGTACTGCAACACCCGAAAGCACGCTCCCCTTCTCTGCATGGCACGCGGGCCCTTCGCCTTCATCCATCTGGATGCGAAGGTCATCCCGTGCTTACTGCACACAGCGGTCACTGAAGGCTGTGCTCGTCCCCCTGCCCGGTACCTCTTGTGTCCAAGAACCCGGTTCTATTCCCTTAGCAGTTAATTCCAAGGGACGAACTGGTGTACTTCTAGGAGATCCAGGATGACCCCCCCAACTGGCATCCTGCTTGCCGGGAGGGTCAGAGCCAACCCACATGCCGATCACAGTAGCTACGGGAGCCTTTTCGGGGCTTTGATTTTCGATTTCTAGCCTATGTTCCATTTTTTTTTTTCTGTTAAATTTTCCAAAAATGAAAAGACCCCTCACATCGGGACTGAGATTTTCTTGTCTGGTAGCCCTCAGATCTTCAGCAGAGTCACCACACATTTCCTCAGTGGTTCCTGAAGGGCTGTGTCCCCAAACTCTGCTCTACTCATGGGTCTCCAGTGGGGGCTTTGGAGCAGTCTCAGCTTGCACGAGGCCCAGGGTCACTCGAGGGACAGCAACCAGAATGGCTTCACAAGGATTCCCTTCCCTCAAGCTGTTAATGGGGGACTTCAAGAGGTCTCTAAACCCTCTTCCTTTCTGACTGAAGATGAGACACAAATCTGTCAGTATTCACAGGGAAGGTCTCTGAATCCTAGAGAGGAGGGAGAATCTAGAAAGATCGCTGAAAAGACGGATTCAAACAGCCAAAGCACCATTTTAACATTTTAAGTCTTTAGTTCTCTTCTGTGGAGACAAATTGATTTTATGGCTCCTATATGGCCGACAGTTCATCCCTGGTTACCTCCCGTAAGGAATGAAAACAGATTTGACCAAGTATCTACGATGCAGATATCTTGAAGACAGATCTGTCTTGCAAACTTATAAAGTACATAAGGGCAAGTGTCTGATTCATTTTATACAAAAATGTTAAGGGTTTAAGGAAGAGCACAGTGACCCCAGAGATCAGCTTTCACAAAACAACCCCGGGCTGAGACCCTGGCTCTTGTTCCCAAGCGTAGATCCCCAACAAGACTGCAGCTACCCCGGCTACCCCTTGCGGACAACCGTTCCCTCTCTGGGCAAGAGCAAATCCACAAATATTCTGCTACTGTGAACTTTTTAAAGCAGCAAATGGATAAACCAGAATAAAATTAAAATCTGAAAACTAAAACCATCACAGTAAGGTTCAGTGATACCCTGGTGCTATCACAGATTATTTTCAGAGTCAGGGCTGTATTTCCATGAGAAAGAAGTTCTATAGTTCTTCCTCGGGTTTGACTGCCTTATCGATTTTTCTAAACATTAAAAAAAAAAAGATTTAAATCTTACGACTACATACAAGGTGGACAAGCTTGAGGATTCCCAGGGTCACCTCTTCCAGGAGGCTGGGGCTGACTGTACGAAAACCAAAGCCCAGACCAACGCTGTCCAAGTTCTAACCTCACTTTTGGGTGGTTGTAAAACCTTGCCTGAGTCACAGTTTTGTTACGCCTTGGTTCTTCGTCTATGAAAGCCAATACTGATACCTCTGTCTCAGGGTTCCAAGGAGTCAGGAAAGAGTACTCGTGCTTGCAAAATACACAGCACAGTAGGAACACATCCTGTTCTCATTTTAAAAGAAGCTAGGTTACTAGTTTGCTTCTAGTTTAATCTTCTTTACTGTGGCCCTCTAAGTTTAAAGTTGGACCACAGCATCTTAACATATAGTATTAGACATGGGTTCGATTTGGCCTGACCTGTCTAAAATAAGCTAAGATAGCATGAAATAACAGATCCAAACTCAGTGAGCCGAACACCAGTGTTGGGTGGTCTCCCTATGGTCCCCAGGTCAGCGGTGGCAGACGTGAGTGGGGTTGAGAATGCCACATGGCATTTCTCCCGTTAGGGAGATGTTGATGTACGTCGAGGGATGAATTTCATCCTCACCAGCTTCTTATTTGTATTCTAAGCTCCTGACACAACACTTGGAATAGGGTAAGTGCTCCATACAAGCTGGCTGAGTCAAGCTGTCCGTGGGATACAGTGGGGGCTGGAAGTGGGACTCAGACAAGGTGGGGTGGGAAAGGGCGAGGAGAAAGGCATCCTAAGGACAGAGCCTCCTGGAGCCGGGCATCCGGCAGGCAGGGCGCCGGCCTTGTCCAGCCCGGGGGGAGAGAGAGGGCTGAAGGCAGGGCAGCCCGAGGGCAAAGCCTAGGGGGTGCGGACCCCATGGGCATCTGCAGCTGCATGTCCGAGCACCAAGTCCGCGTGGGAGTGGGACCGGACTTGAGTCTAGACGGGGCCAGTGTGGTCCACCAGACCAACGAGAGGAGCAGGACCTGGGCGATCCCTGTTGCTACCCTTGGGGGTGGGGGGCCCTGGGAGGAATGCGGTCAGCTCAGCCAGGAGTCAGGGGAGCAGGGAAAGTGCCCAGCCTGGGGCGAGTGATGCTCTGGTGGCCGGTGCCACTCGTCAGAGTGACCACTGGGGCTCTCCTGATAAGGCCATGCGGTGTGTCCCGCTCAGCAGTGCAGAGCGATGCATGCCTGGGCAAGGGTGCGGGGAGAGCCGGGCGCCAGGAGGACAGCAAGCCCTCGAAAGTGGACTTGGGTAACGCGGAGGGGCGCCGTGGGGCCCGGCAGCCAGCATACTGCTAGATGTTACTACCAGCAGAGGACGACGTTCAGGTGAAGACCAGTGTGGAACCCAAGGGGAGGATGGCGAAGACCAGGCCCAGGACTGAGACTCTGCCTCTAGCCACCCCTGGCCAGGAGATTTTTCCAATCCCTAGTAAGGAGGGATTCGGAGTTAACCAAAAATCACACTACATGACATATTGTATATTTACTTCTCTATGGGTCCAAGTTAACTGCCGGGTAAACTGGATGGCATTCACTGCCTTGACCAGATTCCAAGTTTAAGAACCCCATCAGGTGCTGTGAAACGGAAACGGAGGAGCCCACTGGCCATGACGGCAGGATCTTGGAGCCGAGTGACTGAGCTGTCAGGCCTCAGGTCACACAGACCCTGCTGACCCGGCTTCCGTCCTCCCTTTGGGGATGGTTAGAGGACCAAGTCCCAGAGGGTGGCCCTTGAACAGGGTTTGGGACAGTAAGGGAAGCCTGGTGCAATGGGGCCTGCTTGAGGGGAGCTGGTCTGCCGTTTGGGCAGATGATTCTGTCTGTAAGGGATAGGGATGTGGGACACAGACCGGTCTTAGAAATGGCAGGCCCAGGAGCCACAGCGGCACCCACGAGCCTGTCCTGTAACTCGCCCCGGTGTCTACAACATCCATTTCTGGGTTTTAAGTCCCTCTTCTGCTTGGTTTGTCCTCGGAGATTAAAAAAAAAAAAAAAAAGCTAAGCTGACAAGCTATTTTTTAAAGTCCTCTCTACGCCCAATGTGGGGCTCAAACTCACGACCCTGAGATCAAGAGTTGGATGCTCTGCTGACTGAGCCCGCCAGGCGCCCCAGCTTGTCAGCAGTTTTGACGCAAGGCCTTTCTTACATGTTTGGCTTTCTTCCATGTTTGAGGTGTGGCTTTCTCCTTTCTGAGTTGAATAATTGCTATTGCTTCGAGCTTGGGACTTCCCTATAGATTAGCCAGTCATTCCTGTGTCTGGCTCGGAGTCCTCTAAGCTCTCCATATCCTTCCCAGTTTTGGCCCGGGGTCAGGCATCATCCTCACTAAAGAGCCGGCAGAGGTGAGAACCACCATGGGTCTCCAGTCCCGCTCCATCGGGCATGCCCTGGGCTCACTCAGGCTTGCCTCCCTAAAGCCCGGGCTGTGTTTCAGACCAGACTCAGGCCCCGGGATCCGAGCTCCCTGCCGCTGATCCATAGAAGATGCTGGCAGAGGCTCTGATGGGCCAGTGTGAGCCGTACCGAGGGGGAAAGGTGGCTGTTGGGATAACCGGGGGCCAGTCTCACCCTGAGGTCACGTTAGTGTCGGGTTTTTGGCAGGCACGGACCCAGTCAGGTACTTTTATGGAGCTTCTGAGTAGAATGAATCCCGTAAGAGCATACTGTTGCTGCTTAACTACTCGGCGTGTGCACCGAGCCCAGGGAGCAGCCAGTTCGCATTCCAGACCGTTAGCCCATGGGGCCTGTGCTGCTGATACTGTCCTGTAGTTTATGAGGTTAGCGTGGGGCCCATGCCCTTCTGAGGGCAGTTCTGAGGTCAGAAGCCCGGCTGAGCATGCAGGCAGGCTGACGGGGGCTGCGAGTGGCTACGTGTTACCTGAGGCTCCACATCCAGGATTGCGATCAGCCCCTGCTCATGGATCTTCCGGATGGTCTCCAGTTTTGTCCCATACATCGCATCCTCGTGGCTGCCATACTCCAGGTACTCATTATTTGAGATGTCTTGCATCATTTGGTCATGAGATACAAAGTAGTAATTCTTTCCATTTTCTTCATCTTTCTTTGGAGGTCTGGTTGTATCTGCAAAGAAAGTCACATATCATGAAAGGCTCAAAAGGCTGAGCTCATGAGCTGACGCTCCCCATGGACTTACCCAAGCCCCATCTCTTCTTAAAAGCTGTGGCTTCTTTAGTATATGCCCCATGCCCTGTTCCCACCCCCAGGAGCTTTGTAGAACTAACTTCTCGACACCGTATTCATCTGTGTGACATCAGACCACAGTAGCTGGCTAGTTGTTTCGTTTGGTGAATCTTTCGGTGTTCAGATGAGATTTAGTTCATCCCTTTGTGGGTCACCACGGGAGAAAGACACCGAATGACCCAAGATGAACATAACTTACTGTATGCCTTAATGCAGTTAGGTCTTAAGCAGAAGGAAAAAAGCAGTAAGAAAAAATGGAAAACCACATAGTTATTTAAATTTAAAGAAATTAAAATTAAATAAAATGAAAACGTCAGTTCCTCAGTCTCACTAGCCACATTTCAAGGGTTCAGTGTGGCTACTGGCTGGTGTAGTGGACTGTGCAGATATTGAAAACTGTCACTGTCAGAGAAAGTTCTGTAAGTTCTGTTGGATAGTGTTGGTCTACGGCAGCGTTCTAAAGGAGATTGTCAGAATACAGCAAAAGGTGTACTACATTGAGAATACAATGACCTTGGCCAGATGTGGCCACAGCAGTTAGTAAAGACCTATGCCATGAGTTGGTAAGCTACAGCCTGTGAGCCAAATAGGGTCTGTTTCTGTAAATAAAGTTTTATTGGAAAACATCCATGCCTGTTTGTTTCCATGCCGACTGTGTCTCCTTTCATGCGACACTGGCAGATTGGAGTAGTGACAGGGACCAGATGGCCGTCCAAGCCTCAAATATATGGAAAAGGTTTGCTGACCCCTGACCTAAGGGGATGTATCCTAAAATATCGGCCAGTAAGTCCTAGTTCTGGGGGATACTGACAGGACCAGTGTTCCGCAAAACACTGTTTAGAAAATGTTTTTCTAGCCAAGCCAGGAACACTGGTTTAAATCTTCCTTCCTCCCGCTACTTTTCCCCTCTCTTTCCTTCCCCCTCCCTTTCTTTCAACTTCCTTCCTTGAGCATGGACAAATTATTGCTCCTCTTTGCCGTGTGCATGGATCCAAACCCACGGGGACCTCCCCCCTTCCTGCCCCGGCTAGACCGTTAGAACCTACAAGTGCTCATGGGCACCCAGATGTGCAGGTTTTAAAGAGCTCTTTCTCCAGGCACAGGAAAAGCTGACGAAATGGCATTGTGTACTGATGCTGTACTATCCTTAGTCATCTCGGGAGGTAAACATATGCTCTGTACACGTGTGGGGTCCAATATCTGAGAGAGGGACTTCATGAGCGAGGTTGGCAATGGTATGCTTCAAAACCAAGCCAGCCAACTGGCCATTTAATAACATGGATGTTCAATTGTTATGTGCTCAAGAAGAGACTAGATGTTACTTAGTTGAGCTTGCTGTACTCAAGATCTAGACACGAGAATCAAAAGAGCAGTTCAAAGTGTTTTACTGAGAAAATCTCAGAGGGACCAACTGAAATGGTATCTGATGAATTTCCTTTTTTTTTTTTTTGTAAATCAGATAGGGTTCTGGAGGGGAGGGTGTCATCTTAGGAAGCCTCACGGCTCTCTGGGGTGGAAAGGAACCCGCAAGTAGTGTTGATGTGGCTTCTGGAAGGCGCTGGAAGGCCCTACTGGGTGGAGTCCATCTTCCCATTTTCTCTCTTTGCTCTTACAACTCCTTCTTTAGTTCTCCCCACCTCCAGCAAAACTCTACCTATCAGAAAGCTTTTAGGATTCAAATTGTAAACTCTGGAATTACAAGACTAAAAACAATGCCAGCAGTAGCAGGGCTGCTATTTATCCGGTATTTCCTGGTGCTTCCTGATCCCAGGCCCTCTGTACATTCCTGGAATTACTTCATCTTATAGTTGAGGAAACAGAGGGCAAGAAGTTAAGGGTAAGACAGAAGAACTAAGGGGAATAAAAATGTTACATATTTAAAATTCTTTATAATAAACAACTGATAGCACACTGGGTTTTCAAAGGGATGAAAGTCAAATTAACTTGGGTACGTTTAAGGAGAACATTGTTCTATCAAAGAAAACTATCCTATCATTCAGATCAATTCTTCTGAAGAATAAGTCATCTGAGTCATGTTTATGCCACTCTGCTGGGAAAATCAGGTTACAGACAGGATGGATGAGCCCAATTTTGTTAAAAAACAACAAACAAATAAATCACACACGACCTACATTTGCAATCAGAGAAGCCTGGGAGAGTCTACAACAGAATGTTTTATAGCACCATTACTGGGGGAATGGGGTTGGGATTATTAACTCAGTTTCTGCTTTGTTTGGCTTTGGATCTTGCAAATTTCCCATAATGAGCAGTGATTACTTAAGTAACGGAAAACAGTATGTCAATTACAATATTAAAAAAGTACCAGGAAAAATAAACTTAAAGGAGAGTGAGACATTGCTTACGTGGAATAGGGTATGCAAACCGGTCTGGGTGCTTTGTGATGAGGGTGTTTTTTATGTGTCTTCTCCCAACACCATGCGCACCTATGTCATTTTTTAAAAAGGTGAAATTGACAATTGTTAATAACACTCGCAGAATGTTTTGAAGATGAGACTAAGAAAGCCACTTGTACAATCAAACTTACCTAACAAGACTAGTGTTTTCCTTTTGAATGCTGGCAGTTTTACTACTTCTTCATATGTAACAAGATCTAATTGATCAAACACTAAAATGCAAAGAGTTAGAAGAAAGGTAAATTTACAGAAGGAGTATTTCATGTGTGTCACTTATAATTTTACTGGCAGAACTAAAGTTATAGTAAACCATGTCTTCAAAAAATATGAGTCCAACTTATATCCGTAGCTTACATGTAATTTTAGTCCTATAACCTTTGGGGAGAAAATTTCAGTTTTAAGCCCATGAAAATGCACTTTAGAACCAGGGGCATCCAAAGATTATGTTGAGCACATGCATAAAAGTTCAAATTCTAAGAGATACTGCATATCTTGTCATGCGGTATCCAACAAGTCAAGTCATACAAAGTCATTCAAAACCACATGCTGTTCATATTTTTGCAATTCTAAGAAATCAGCGATACTAAAAAGAAAAAATCTGCAGACAGTGACCGACATGAATATAGCATGAATGCAACTAAAGTTAACCATGAAAGAGGCCACTAGATTATCTCTAGGGATGGATGAGAGATGCATGGACAGCTGGTCTTTGACTTCATGGTTCTTTCTTTCAATAGAGTTGCTGAGGGTAGCATGCTAGATTTCTTTCAAAGTCAAGTTCTGTAACTGTGATTTCACAAGCTTTTGAAACGAGCATCCCACAAGTTTTACTGTAACCAGCTATCCATTTGATGGAAAGTCTTGGGTATCTTAAGTAGGGGGACATGCTTCCCTGGGCCCCGAACTTTGTCAGCCCGTGTGCCATAAGTCAGGATGGACAGAATGGAAAGAAGCATGAAGCAGAGTCTGAGCTCGGAAACCTTTGCAAAAGGGGAGTTCTCTGATCATTACAGACTGAGAGGAAATGCTTTCAAAAATGGTTTTTGGAAACCTGCCTCTTAACAAAACTGTTACAAAAACCTTCCCAAGAGGATGACCATTCCTGTTGAAGTTCAAGGTAGTCCATTTGAAAATTCTCACAAGGCGGCTAAAATCACGAGTCAATGTTTCCTGTAATAGTTTTCTGTGTGGTAATACCCAAATGTTGCCAGGCACACACTGAAATATCTTTTTTTTAAGAAGACTCAATAAAGCTCTAGATTTCAGAAGGGTTGAAATAAATTCAATACGATTGATTCCATGGTGCCGTAAAGGGATCTGGGATGCTTCAGTCAATCACTAAGAGAAGCTTCTCCTCCCTGAAACAATATGGCCAAATGCTTTTTTGGCTCTCAGCTCAGTCCTTAACATTTGTGATCTTCCCAGTAGCAAAGAACCTTAAAATGCAAAATAGGATATTCTCGAGTGCAACAGATCAGAGACAAACAAACGAACAAAAGTATCATTCCCAGGCTATTAAAAAAAAATACAATGTGTTAAAATAAGGGTTAGTGCATGTTAATGGGTTATCTGTGCCTTTGTTTCCTTTTGATAACTTGATTCCAGAAAGGTTGACTCAGTCTTTAATTCTCTAGCAACAGCTAAAAACCAAGAAATGCTTTCTGTGTTTAGAATGGCAGACTCCCCAAATCAAAATGAACATGAAGTTCTGTGCGTGCTCGAGCTGGCTGGTCATGCTGCAGTGATTACGGAGTGTCAGAGTTGCAAAAAGAAAAGCAGGAGTGCTTATGGCATCGCTTTTTATACCCACTGCCCTCTGAGTGAGATTTCCATCGAGAAAAAGGATGCTATGAAAGAGGTGTGTCAACAAGCTGATATATTCTAATATAAAAAAATAATCAAGCATCTCACAAAAGAGCAAGATGATGATGGCACAAGCTTTTGGAATGGCATCCTACCCACTTACGACTGGTCATTTTTTTTTTAGACACACATAAGAATGAGTTGGAGATCAACAATCAACAGCACGGACAAATGAACAGGTATGTTACACATCGATATCTTAACCATAAACGAGTAGCATGAAGAGGTTATTCTGGTCTAAGTGAAATTAGCACATGGTCATAGGATTGAGAAACAATAAAAGAGTATTTAAAAATAAGACATACAAGGAATGTAAGGAGAACACTTAAAGGCTGAACTTTTAAAAGTTTTATGTTGTTTGCGGATTTTTTTTTTTTTTAAAAAGGACTGAATGAAAGGAAACCATCAAAAACAAAGAGGCATAGTCACTCAACAGGTTACTTACATGCACAGAGGCCATTGGGAGTAAGACAGCATGAAAAATGTACAGGGGTCATTGAAATATGGCTTTTAATATATTAGTAAAATAAAAGTATAATATGCACAAAAGAAACTTTACCATGCAATATTCTAAACACGAGGCAAATAAATCACATTAAGAAACAAACTCATTTTAATAAAAATCCAACAATATCCTTATATAAAAGCCAGTGGGTTTTGATTTGCTAGCAATATGCATGGACAGCTGGTCTGGGAATAGTTAAGAGACACCTTCCTCAGGAAGTGTAGGTGTGGAAGCCTTTTGCTTTTCAGTTTGTACCTTCCTGTACTGTTTGCATTTTCGAATCACAGGTGCCTATTACTTTTATTAAAAAAAAAAACAAAGCCAACAGGGCAGTGGGATTGATGGACCATTCTTTGTTGTCTTAAGAGTTCTCTGTATTGAAGAGAAAAAGGTAATAGTTTTTAAAAACCTATTCAATTACTAATTTGTGGGATTAAGCATCATTTAAGCAAGCCTATGAATGGTATTGTAGAAACCCTCTGGGTTCATGTGTACGTATGTAAATAGACTATCTTGGGATATTGAAATACCACTGCACAAGGCTCTAACAGTTAAAAAAATGAATTAATGAAGACTGTTTTTTCCCCTCAAGTTTACATTAGTAACTTGATCTTGAAACTGATTTTGGAAGTCCTAGGGCTGAGGAATCTCAGTGCCTCAAGAGTATAGTTCTAGCAGCCTGACAATGCTTTTTGCATCAAATTTATGTGGCTAAACATCTTTTATGTGTTGCAGAAAATGTATTTGCTGTAAACACTACACACACCACAATCAAATCTATTCCCAAGGCTTCAGAAATACTGTCTGGCATAGTTTGCTCATACTATCCTGATTTCCTGGTAAGCTACTCAATATTCATGACACTTTTATGTGTTTAGGTATTTTCCAGTTGAATCTTTTCCATAAATAAGCCTTTAGCATCGAATCCTTTTCTCATTTGGAAAAAGTATAAGTATATTCAAATACTGTAAAAACCTCCCATTAGAAAAGGCCTCGCACACTGATAACTTGGGCCAGGTGCGCACTTAGCTGCCTGCAGCGGCTGGATGGGCAGTGAATGCGTCTGGGTGCGCCGGCCGGGTGCACAAATGTAGCACTGGGTCCTAGGGAATGAGTGTCCAGCCAAAAGGGACATCGACAACCCGGTGGCACTATGGGAGAAAGGGGGCCTAGTGTCGCCACATTTCTCTTTTCTTTCAAGGCAAGGCAGAAACCCAGATTTTTATGTTAAATATCCGATTTTCAAATGTAATACCTAGTTACAATTCTTTCAAATACCGTGTATGGGGAAAACAAAACTAATTTATCGGTCATATCCAGCTAACAGACTGTCATTTTATAATGTGAGATGGAGGTGACACAGCTTGAACAGAATTCTGCTACAGCTAGACACGTGGGATGTCCCTGTGACAGAAATGGGAACAATTCTAGTATCACCGTTCCCATCAGTTCTAGACACTGACCAAGTTCCCATCTTTCATTTTTACTACAAACATAAACAACTTCAGAATTTGATGAGAAGGTTTGGATCTTGCCATCAATATCTGCTGAATTCTCAAAGATTTGAAGCAGGAAATAAGACACACGGCCCTTATTTGGATTGGACGAGGACTAGAATATTCCCGCCCCCCACCCGCTGTATTTGACAATCAACTTCTGAAAAAGCCAGAAAAATCCTTCAGAGGAAATACTGTTTGATTTGTGGCCCATGAGCCCATTTGACTAGTTCTTGGCATTAAAGAATATGATGTTTCAAAGTTCTCAAAGCACCCGCCGTACTGACGGAGTTCAGTAGTATGTTTCTCTTTCACACCAGGTCCTTATATAGGCCTCCTCGCATGTTCAGATGGCCTTTCATCATGGCTCAAGGCAGAAGAGCTGCTAAAATACGTGACTTCCCTTTCCTGACAACTTCATCTCTTGTCAGGCAAAGGTGACCACTAAGTAAATGGTTCTTGTGGACTTTGTCGTGAACAAAATGGAAGGGTTGGTGGGTGAAGGGGAAGGAGCCTGAAGAGATGGTGACAGAAAGGCCTTGCCAGGCAGCATGCTTCAGGAAGTCCAGGAAAAAAGCTGGACATCTTTTCCCCGAGCAGAAACACCAATAGGAGAGCTCATGAGGCTTGATTTGGGGGTGGGGGCAGGCAGTGGGCAGGGGATCCCAGCAGGGACATTCTGGCTAGACCATCACAAATACACCTAAACACAAGTGCTACAAGGAACTGTGAGTGGCTCTCCAAGGACCTTATAAAGACATTTTGAGACTTCACATCAACAGGCGTGAAAGGAGGGTCCCACATGCAGTGACAAATACTGACACACACAAGGGACAGTAAGCATGATGGGGACAGCTCGGGGGCCCCGAAGACCACTGCTTTGGAAAATGCTGAAGATAACAAAACAGTGGTGGAGGTGGGGCTCCCCGCTTCCTAAGTTATAAATTTATAAGAACTTGGATAGGTCCATGGTTTTGCATAGGAGGTGTAATGTCCGAAGATGATAGAGAAAAAAGCAATTCTATTCCATCCCTAGGAGGCTCCTGCCTTCTGTTATCAAGGGCGAGACCCTTCGAACTTGATAGGCAGCGTTTGCCAGAGCTCAAGCCTGAGATGAGGGGCAGTAAATGAGTGCCTGGCTTCATTAAATGCTACCCATTTGTTAGGCCCAGTGAGGAAAGCAGTGGAGATGCCCTGAGTTTTAGAATTAGAAAAGGATGTCTTTCACTGACTAACCCAATCTCCTCATTTCGGGGCCCACAGGAGCCGAGTGATTTGCCCAGGCTGTGGGGCCACTCGGGTGCCAATTCCGGACCCTGTCTCACTCAGGTTGCCCGTTAGGCTTATAGGTGTGTTTTCAGGACCACTGAGCACCACCTACGAGGGAGTCGGGCAGGGCGGGGACAGTGGAAGATCGGTCATGGCCGTGGTGGAAGAATGGAGAAAGTGATCTGTGGAAAACATCGGCCACCAGATTGCATGCTGATTCTCTGACAAAATTCTTGAGTGAACGAGTCAACGGTTTCTTTGTCAGAATGGAGAGATTCTAGTTTTCTAATCAACTGGCTTATTTTCCCTCACAGCTGAATTAAAGAATATTGGCATGTTGAATACTTATGTCTACATGTCCTCCATTAGCAGAGTATAAAGCTAGTGATGGATTAATAACCTTAATGAGCCATCAATTTGCTTTTCTTTCTAGGTTCAAATTATAATGCCAGCTATATCTATACATCACTTAAAATTATAAAAACGATAAGGTTTTATATATGTATGTACATATATAAAATGTCAACACATCTTGTGAGCCTGTTAGAAGCTGATGGAAATGAAGATGACTTGGCAGTAACCACTGACGTTTCGTGTTAAATGACATTCTGCTGACATTACAGTGAACGTCTTCAAAAAGTACTACTCAAGCATTTACAATTAACAGTCGCTAAGTTATGTTTAATCTGTCTTAAATATTTCTTCCCTTTATAAGACAAAAAAAAAAGCGCCATTATCAGACTAGTGCTCTGTGGTGGTAAAGAATCAGAAAGGATATATTTTATTGGAATTAAAAATGGGGTACAGTGTGGCCAACATGAAGGGAATGACTCCTCATTTAACTGAATCATTTGAAATGAACCCGTGGCCACTCACGTTCATCCCACGTGATGCAGTATTTCAAAATGCGTACTTTTACTTGCTGATTAAGAAATGAGCAATTCAGAGTTTGTAAGTAATTTTCCCTGGTGGATGCTAACTACATTAACATTCTACAGACAGAAGTGCATTTCATATTTCTCAGAAATATTATACTGTCAAATTGGGTATACATGACTGCATTCGTTTGGTTTTTTTTTTGCCACATGTTTGATTTTTGGAGTTATTTCTGAAACCTTGGGAACTAATCTAATGCCAATACTGGGCCTTGAATTCCTCAGAACAAGTCCCTTATAAAAAGGAGTCCTACTGAGAAGTTACTGAAAATAAGTAAATCCCACTCTGTATATCAGCATGCATTTCCTTTAGCTTAACTTACATCCTGTGAGTCTTCTGGGAATTCTACGGCAAGGACGGATCATGCTTGGCATTCATTTCAGTTTTTAGCAAACAAGTGAGTATTTTGACTTAGGTTGAACGCAAGTTTTCGTATAGACAAACAGCGCGAAGGGAAGCCCGAGATCATGCTCTTGGTCTTTTAGGAGCCAGGAAATAATGGGGGTGGGAGGTGGGGGGAGGAGACGACTAGTCCCAGGAACGGACCAAACGCCGTTAGTACCCAATGGCATCTGTGCTCTTTCGATCCCATCGCTAGACCCTTTGCACCACGGCTCTGTGAAGAGCGCCCCTCTGCCCTTAGCAACGTGCCACAGGGCCGTATCCAAGGGCCAGAGAGGAGTGAGGAGGGAGATTTGCTCAAGATCAATCTCAGCAAGGAGGCAAGGATCCCGGTGACTCTGCAAACCCTCAAGCTCTCATTTCTCAGGGGAGGACTGAATGTACTGGGTCCTTTTAGTTCCAGAGAAGACTATTTCCAAATAGCATTTTCATCCTATGAAGTAGAGCTCTATAAAATGGCTGGCAAATAACCAACATCATAATTGCAGGTAGGGCTTTCTTAAAAGTTTGGCAGGCTGACGAAGACCTCATCGGGTGGGATTTTTGGGAGGACTCGGAAGACGGAACTGAGATGTGAGATCTACCTCTGTCTTTGCCGTGCTCACTCGGCCTCAGCCACACTTGTATGTTTCCCTACCTGCATTGTGCTTTGCCAAGTATTTATCTTTGTACTGCTTCTTTTTCTTGCCGAACCAAGTACAGCTGGCCTGCTGCTCCTGTTTGGTTTTCTCCATGGCGATGCAAGCGACTCGCCTAGCAGAGAGAGAGAGAGAGAGAGAGAGAGAGAGAGAGAGAGAGAGAGAGAGAGAGAGAGATATCTCCTGTAAAGTTGTATATTGACAAAAATCATTCATTTGAAGACTTGATACAAGCCTGTATGAACATACTTCTCACAGACTTTTCAAGATAAAGCTTGCTCTTTGGTTTTCCTGACAATTTACTGGAGATGTTTTAAAAACACAGGCTTATAATAAAATGACATCACATTCCCGGGGCACCTGCTAACTGATAACGCAGCCGAGCAACCTAAACTCACGGCTGTGGCATGTGGTGGACAGAGTGTGGGATTTTGAGTTCTGACAGGTCTGGTTTGACTCCCAGCTCTATCACTCACGACCTTGTGCCAATTTAGTGTTAGGTGCTTTCCTAGGAAATGTACATGTATTAACTCATTTGACCTTTCTAACAACACGTGAAATCGTGTCACTGCTTTACAGATGAGGGGATCAAAGGACTTAAGAGGTTCAGTAATTTGACCCAAACCACGCATCTTACATGGGTGAGTGAGCTCTGGCACCAGAGACCACACGGTTGGCCAGGACATTCTATTGGCAAGTTTCTTAGCCTCCTGGATGGCTGTCGTAAAGGATCAGAACAAAAAAATGGAAAGAATGTCCTCAGCACAGTGGTAGGCACAGTAGATGCTTAATAAATGGTACTATTACTACATGGCAATTCTAGTCTAAGAAAAAACATTAATGAAATCCACAGTTGGAATTACAGAGAATTTTAATTTTCTATGTGATTATAGTATTCAGCACAAATGTTATTAAGAAGTTGTCCCCTTAGGTTTAATCTAAGCAAATATTTGCCTTTTAGGATATCGCCACAGGTGGTTTTGCTTAATGAGTTTGCTTGTGTGCCAACCAGGGGTCCCCAAGTGAGCCACATATAAGGAGAATCCAGAATCACCATCAGAATGACAAGTGATTTTCCAATGAGGTTGTATGGATTTACATTCCACCAGCGATGTCTGAGAGCTCCTGCTGTTCCACTTCCTTGCCAACACTTGGTAGTATCAGTCTTTAATTTTAGCCACGACAGTGGGCAAGTTAACGCAATCAGGCTGTGCTTTGAGTTTGCATTTCATGGATTACTAATGAGATTGCACACCTTTTCACAGGTTTGTTGGATTGGATTTCTTCTTCTGTACAGTGTTTAAGTCTTTTGGCCATTTTCCTTTTCCAGTTGTCTTTTTCTTTTTTTTTTTAAAGATTTTATTTATTTGACAGAGAGAGACACAGCGACAGAGGGAACACAAGCAGGGGGAGTGGGAGAGGGAGAGGCCGGCTTCCCGCGGAGCAGGGAGCCCAATGTGGGGCTCCATCCCAGGACCCCGGGATCATGACCTGAGCCGAAGGCAGACGCTTCATGACTGAGCCACTCAGGCGCCCCTCCAGTTGTCTTTTTCTCATTGATTTGTAGGAATTCTCTATGTGGTCTGGATATTACACCTCTGTGAGTTATACATGTTGCAAATACCTTCTTCCATTTTGCGCCTTGCCTGTTTACTCTTCCTATGGTAACTTTTGATGAAAATAACTTAGTTTAAGTCAAATTTAGCCATCTTTTCCTTTATGGAAAGTATTTTTGATATGTTAAGAAATCCTTCCTTGTTCCTGAAGATCTTATTCAAGTTTATAGTTTTGGCTTTCATATTTTGGCCTTTAATACACTGGGACTGATTTTTGTATATGGTGTGAAATTAGGGGCCCGATTTCTTTCTTCTTTTTTTCCCTAATGGACACTCAATTGTTACAGCATGACTTATGGAGAAAACTATCCATTCCTCACTAGTGACTATTTATGTATGGGAGTGTTTTGGGATTCTCTTCAATTGGTCTATTTGAACATCTTTATGCCTGTATCTTATTATCTTAATGACTACAGCTTTATAGTAAGTATTGATATCTGGTGGAGCAAGGCCTCCCTCCTTATTCTTCTAGAAGAACATCTTGGCTATTCCTGATTCTGTGCATTTCCAAGAAAACTTTAACATTAGCTTGCCAATTTCAAAAACACTTAAGACTGCATGGAATCTATGAATCAATCTGGGAGGAATATACATCTTTACAACACTGAGTCTTCCAGTCCCTGAATACAGTATGTCTCCATTTGTTTAAGTATTCTTTAATGTCTCAATGTTATAATTTTTCCTGTGTCTTGAACATTTTTGTTAGATTTGCTCCTAGCTTGTTGATTAAAAAAAGAGGTTATACAAATGGTATTTAAAAAAATTTTGTAATTTAAAAAATTTCAAACATACACAAGAGTAGAGAGTAATGAACCCCAAATACCTACAACCCAGCTCTAGCATTTCTTAACTCCTGGCTTGTGGTATTTACAACCTATCCACCCTAGATTATTCTGACACAAATCTAAGTTTGTATCATTCCCTCCTTAAATATTCTTAAATTCCTTTTAAATCTATAGGTTCCCTCTCTCCTTTTCCTTCTTGCAATTATTTGTTGCAAAAACTGGTTGTTTGTCCGATAGTTTCCAAGTCTGGATTTCTCTGATTTCATCCCTGTGGTGTCTTCAGTAAATCCCTGTCTTTTGCATTTCCTCCAAATAGGTAGTTAGATCTAGAGGTCTGATCAAATTTAACTTCTATTTTTTTTTTTGCAAGAATACTTTATAGTATTAAGGTGATGCAGGTGGTGTTATGTATGGTATGTAAAAAATTTTTATTTTCTCAGGGCACCTGGGTTGCTTGGTCAGTTGAGCGTCCCTCGTGATTCTGGCTCATGATCTCAGGGTCCTGGGATCGAACCCTGCATTGGGCTCCCTACTCAGCAGGGAGTCTGCTTCTCTCTCTCCCTCTCCCCCTGCTTGTGCACGTACATGCTCTCTCAAATGAGTAAGTCTTTAAAAATTTTTTGTATTTTCTCTTTTTTGCTGGTAAATAGAAATTGCTTTTTGTATATTGATTTTATATCAAACCATCTTGCTGACCTCTCCTATTAATTCTAATGGTTTATCTATAGATTCCTTTGAATTCCTATACACAGAAACATATCACCTGCAATATTTTTTTCCTTTCCAATAGTGTCTGCTGTAGGTTTATGGTAAATGCTCTCAATCAGGTTAAGGAAGTTCCCTTCGATTCACAGTTTGTGAGGGTTTTATAATCATGAGGGGATGTTAAATTTTACCAAGTGCTTTTCCTGCATCTACTGATAGGACCATGTGGATTTTCTTTAGTCCATTAATACAGTGGATTGGCTTGACTGGTTTTCAAATGTTGAACCAGCTGTGCATTCCCAGTACAGACACCACTGGGTCAAGATGTATTATCCTTATTATATATTGCTGGATTTTGTTGAGAACTTCTACATCTATGTTCATGAGGGAGCCACATCTGTAGTTTTCTTGAATTGCCTTTTGTGAATTTTGGTATCAGGGTAATGCTGGCATTATGAAAGGAGTTGGGAACTGTTTTATTCTTCTCGAAAAGACTGTCCTCCATCTCTATTTTCTCTTGTTCATTGAGGGTTTTTTTTTTTTTTATTATTCCTTTATTTTTTGGTTAGGAGAAGGACACTTACTGGGCGATGCTGTGAATGCTCAGCAACAGCGTCAACGTCAACATTCGTGTATTACCTAAGCGGCATACAGAGGAGGCTGATGAAGCCTTTGTTTTGGGGATTCTTCCAGTACAAGCCAATCTGTGCTGTAGCCATAGCTATGGCTTCTGTGAGGCACATGAGCTTCGGGAGCATAAACAAAACCGAGGAATTTTTGACAGGTTAAAGGAGACAAAATCCTGACCCTGTGAAGCTTATGTTACAGTCTATAGAGTATCTTATAACCAGTGTTTTTAAGCTTAGGGAATAAAAGTAAAAAGGTCCCAGTAAAAATTTGTGGCGTGGCTCTATGTGACACAATGACAGAGGAATGAAACCAGTCTTCACCCGCCATGCAGGAAATGAGTGCTGTTTCTTTTAGCTCAGTAAGTGCAGGCAAACCGTGGTAGGATTTAGGTCAACCCAGAGGAAAATTTCAAATACGTGTAACATTTTCATTGCTGACTTGGATGAGGGTCTAGTAGGCAAAGGGAGGGATGACACATTCAGGGACTCAAAATTTACCAAAGGACTTGACTGGTGTGCCTTGTCAAGCACGATGAAGTTTAACAAGGATAAAGAAGGGAAGGCATCTGGGTCCCCAAACAATTGATTTCTCGACAGGGTGTGACAAATGTCACTTGGTAGAAACACCCATGAACCAAGATTCTGGGTCTGGCTGACAGTATTATTGCAAACCTTTCTCACCGACACCGAACGCCCACCTACATTCTACGCACCAACTCAGCTGCCCACCAGCGGCACTGCCTTCCTTGCCGCCGGGAATGCCTTCCTCTACCTCAGTGTCTGACTCAGGCCTCAAGGCACATGCTGCCCAGTGGGCCCCTTCCTCGTCATCCCAGCTAGAATCCCTTTCTCCCCCTACAGTTTTTGCACCTTCACCGAATTTGTTTTTTTCGTAATAAACCGAACATATTTGAAATGTACAGTTTCATCAGTTCTGCTGGATGTATACATTCTTCCCTCTCTCCTCTGGGATCCCCAGGCAACCGATGTTACTATAGATTCGTTTTGGTTTTCTGGAATTTCATATAAATAGAATCATATAGTATGTTCTCTTTTTTTTTTGTCTGGAAACTTAGCATAATGATTTTGAGTTTTATCCATATTGTGTGTGTCAATAGTTCATTCCTTTTTTTTAATATTTTATTTATTTATTTGACAGAGAGAGAGAGAGAGAGAGAGCACACAAGCAGGGGGAGCAGCAGGGAGAGGGAGAAGCAGGCTCCCCACTGAGCAGGGAGCCCGATGTGGGGCTCGATCCCAGGACCCCGGGATCATGACCTGAGCTGAAGGCAGATGCTTAACTGACTGAGCCACCCAGGTGCCCCCAGTTCATTCCTTTTTATTGCTTCATAGCATCCCACTGTATGGATATGCCATCCTTTCTTCATCTGTTTCCCTGATGGTGAAAACTTGAAAAAAGGGGCGCCGGGGTGGCTCAGTTGGTTAAGCATCTGCCTTCGGCTCAGGTCATGATCCCAGGGTCCTGGGATCAAGCCCCACATCGGGCTCCCTGCTCAGTGGGAAGCCTGCTTCTCCCTCTAACCCTCCCCCCTCTCATGTACTCTCTCTCTCATTCTTGCTCTCTCAAATAAAAAAAAACTTGAAAAAATTTTAGCCTTTCTAAAAGGTGTGTAGCCACTGAGGTTTGGTTACTGCATGTTTTGTTCTTGGCAGTTCCTTCTGGTTCTTCTTCAAAACAGTTTCCCTGTTCTCTGAAGATAGTTTTCAAGATTATTGATTTTAAAATATATGCACAGTTGTTTAAAAACCTTGCGTCAAGTGGGATTGGGTTTGTTTCTGCTGCCTGTCATTTCAGTAGGGTCTCTGTTTGGTCTGTCAGGCAGGTCTTCCTTGTTTCCTTTTGTGCCTGTGGGTTTTTTTTTTGACTCGGTCGCTGCCCTAGGAAAAGTCTATGTGGGGGGTTAGGAAGGGCTCTAGGATGAGGCCTAGCATAAAGTGTTCTCCTTCGGAGACTTTCTTTTCATTTGTAACAGATACAGGGAACTACTATTAGTAAAGGAGAGGCCTCAGATCAAGTGTAAGGCTGGAAGTCCCCTGACCGTCCCAGGCTATGTGTATCTGGGTACAGAGCTACTCAAGGCAGACCAGCGGCCATGATTTTTTCAGGGAAACTTTGTTTTCCTTTTATTCGTGTCTTTGGCTTTGCTCAGTGGCAAGGCAGCCTTCTCTCCAGTCCCCAGCTGTTGAAGGGCAGCAAGGGCACACTTCTCTGCTTGCTCTTAACCTGAGGGCAGAGCCTCTGCAGTCCCGACAATGGGGGACGGGTCTCCTAATAGATCCCCCTGCTTGTACAGGCCTTAGGTCTTAACCTTGGTTGTCTGGCAGAAAAGTTTTCAGTAATAGACGTGTCCTCTTGGCAAAATGGGCCAATATGCTGCTCTACTTTCTATCACTCGATTAATGGCTTTCACATAAAAACTTGTCACTCAGTTGCCCGATGCCTTTTTGGCTACTTAATGCTTTTAAGGTAATATTCAAAAGCACATTTTCTGCAGCATTTTCATCTTTTTTTTTTTTCAGCAGGAGAATTGATTTAGATAACCTAGTCCACCATTACAGGAGACAGGGAGCAAATCTGCTTTTCCCACTGCCATTTCTCAGGATTCTTCCAGAGGACTCAGGAGTTCTAGGTGTCTGTGAAACAGGATTTCTACAGATGATCTGACTAGGGAGAAGAGTTCTGGAATCTACATAATTCTTTTAAAAAATGGCAGCAGGTTAGAACACATTTTGTCAAGCGTAAATGTCACTAATGACATAACAACACCCATCATGAAAGTGATTCAGAAATCACATCCGTCCTAATGCTTAAACTCTTCCTTGAAGTTGGGGCTGCAAGGCAGGGCCAGATGGAAGGCTGCCTGCCACTTCCTCTGGCGGGGCTTGCAAGTCCCCATGGAAAATGATGCCATCTGAAATTCTCACCCGCTCCGACAGTCTAAACATAAGAATAGTTTTGGAAACATGGGATAGTGACGGAGGCAATCACGCAAAGGAAATTAACTGAGAAATCCCTGTAACTAGTGAGAAAAAGGGGTGAGAAAACAATTCTCAACGTCTGCGGACTCGGGGCCTCTGGGGTGTCTTAGCTAGCTTCAAATATTTGGGTACGAACTGCCCCAATGCCTACTGGTTGCTTTTTTGGTCGCATAAAACAAAACTCAGATATAAAGTCCTCTCTTTGCTAGATTTCTCATATATTGCTAAAGTACAGACGAATGCAAAATCACCAGCATTTTTCAAAACACAGTTCAAGTTAGCAAATAGTAACAATGGCAGAAATAGATTTTACTAAAATATATAGTAATCTGGGACTCCTTTTCTCACACTTAAAAATGGTGTCAAAAAGCTCTCTGACTTTAACCTGTTTCCACCGCTTGAACTTTCTAACAAAATAGGCATTTTTTTTTTAAAGATTTTATTTATTTGAGAGAGAGAGGAGCGTCAGAGGGAGAAGCAGACTCCCTGCTGAGCAGGGAGCCCGATGCGGGACTCGATCCCGGGACTCCAGGATCATGACCTGAGCCGAAGGCAGTCGCTTAACCAACTGAGCCACCCAGGCACCCCAAAATAGGCATTTTTAAAGACTTAGCAAGGTAAAGAATGAAGCTTCTGGCTGCCTTTTTCTCCTAACGGGGAAACCCATTTTACCTTCAAATATCCTGAATGACCTTGAATCATAGCCTGAGGTTTTCCCTGCTGCTGATGGGGGGGGTGGGGGGTGGGGGGTTGGAATGAGCACCGAAGGAGCATGCGGAGGGGCAAGGAGAGGGTTTGTTTTAAAACAAACAAAACGGGGATGGCTGGGTGGCTCAGTCGGTTAAGTGTCTGCCTTCAGCTCAGGTCATGATCCCAGGACCCTGGGATCGAGCCCCGGGGGGGGCAGGCTCCCTGCTCAGCCGGGAGTCTGCTTCTCCCTCTCCCTCCACCCCCCCACCCCCACCCATGTGCGAGCATGAGCTATCTCAAATAAATAAAATCTTTAAAACAAAACAAAACGCAGTTCTAAAAGGATTGAAGCAGCATGTGGGAGTGGGGGGCTGTGCTAAGGGACCAGGAGGTGACCGTGACCTGCGACCTGAGGGCTAGCCACTCAACCTCCCTCTAGACCTTCCTCTCCTTTTATGTAAAACCAAGACCTGACTCTAAGCAGGAACTTGCTAGATGCTGAGGATTTAGACTTCTTGGATGACTAATCTGAACTTTGGCTAGCGGAGCAAACAGGTTTTACACAATAGAAGGTTGACAAACGGATGGTTGGGGCTTTGTTTTTATTGTAAATCAAAACGGAACAACAAAAACATACCATTCCTGAAGTTCAGGAGAAGGAATGAGACCTGCGGTTCCATTTTTGGAGTTTTCCAGTTTACCCTGCCACCAGTTGTGATCGTCCTTACTAATAATCTGGATAATGTCACCAACTCTGAATCGAATGCCAGCTTCTTTGCAGGGGATGAGGTCATCCTTGGCTGGATCATATTCAAATTGTGCTCTTACATAGATCTATAAAACAGGAGTCTGTAAGAAGGGCTGCCTTGGCGATGTGAAAGCAAACAGCTCTAACGTAATAACCACACACCAACACTTACAATACGAACAGGACATTAGATGGTGAAGCCAAATGATGCATGGAGATAGGGCACAGAACTGCTACCACTAGAAATGATGGACGACCTCTGAAGGGTGCAGGCTCAAGCCTCTGCTGTTACTTGGAGGGAACGCTGCCGACACTTGTTTAATAAAGATCAAGACTTAGCACTTGCTTTTACTGTAACAGACTAGGTCTCTAATTACAGAGAGGTACGCTTAGCATTTTTAAGTCTGCATATATTTAGCTGACGTTATGGGCACGTTGTATGATCACGTGGCAGCCTTTACACCATATACACAAACACTTAGGGTAGGCTTTAACCCCAAAGCAGCACGTGATACAAAAGCAGCAAGCACTCTGTGTCGGTCTCTTGCTGTAAAATGCCTACAAGACAGCCGTGTGTGGCTACACACTGCTGATAAACCTAAATGTAATGTACACAGTTTTTAAAGCATTTAAAAAAATCAATCGTGTTATTAGGTTTTTAAAGAAGGATTTCGGCTTTGTATCTGTATTTTACTCTTCCTAGAGAAGAAAAATGACTTTGAATCCTAGCTTTGCCACGTGAAAGCAGCACAGAGCTTCAAGATATGCAGAGTTCAAGGCTCTGAGTTTTAGGATATGTCAATGTAATTAGTAAATATTATAAAAGGAAACAGATGAGCACATAAGGGGTTATCATATGGCAGCATTTTATGAATCACTGTGTTTCCAAATGCTTTAAAATAAGGTGCTAGGTATCTAACGTTGCATCACTTATGCAGTCTTAAGAATAAACTATGGGTGAATTTTCTCAGGTGCCAATTTACGCACACCTGAACCCCAAATCGGATTATCTTTGGACACCAAATTCCATGAAAATTCCCCATAAAAATTCTACCTCTTGAAATTAAATTTGAGTATTAATGTTTCAGTCACTGTAAAACCAACCTGAAGGCTTTGGAATTAGTGCATGATTATTCTGTTCAAGTTTTCTTGTCAGAAATCCAGCCTGTAAAATTAACCTATCTCTGCCTTTGCACCTGAAATGCATACTCAAAGTGCTTGGCAAACTGGAAGCTGCTTGCTGGTGGCAGGCAGCACGTCACTTTCCCCGGGTGACCCAAAAGAGGAATATTGGGATGCAAAGCCAGGATGTTCTGAGTTTTCATTGTAAATGGCTTTTAGATATTCACATGCAAATACAAATTAAGAAAAAGCCTTGAAAATTTCAGAAAATTACTGCTTAAACATAGTCATCAGCACATACATTTTAGTTATTCTTAGAATTATAGGAGTTTTGCAACCTTTCACAATTTTTTCCCCCAACTCCACAGGCAGGCCCATAAGACCCCCCCGAAGGCTGAATTCTTAAACCATCAGCACAAGTTTATCAGGTTGAAATTACAATAACCATCACAGCTACAAAGACGTGAGGAAAAAAATCCTTATAGAAAATTAGTCATGTGTAATGTGTTAAAATGAAATGGTACAAGCTCTCAATGCTTAAATGTTATGGTCCAAAATGCAGACATTATGGGATGGAAAGGGTTAATAAAGGATTGGCTATTAGCAGCTCAGTTTAGAGAAGTTTCTATAGAGGATATCTATTCACCTGTCGTCCTTTTGGTTGGGTAGTTGATGGCAAGTCCTGTAGAATAAAGCCAACCCAGGAGAAAAATTTTCATTTACTTTTCAAGAGTACAAGGTAATTTGTGTGTTCTGTTACAATATGGTTAAAAAATGAGCTAGATTTCAGTTGTAAAGAGATCATATACATTATTCCATTTCTCAGAAATGTTGAGTTATCGAAAAAAATCAAACCCAGGCCATTTAGCAGCAAGCTGAGGAAAGCAGGTAAGTTTAAGCAAGAGAGAAAATGTGTTCTTAAGAAACAACTCAGCATCTTCAACACAAAAGCCACTGTGAGTGAAACGGCCCTATCAGAAACAAAAACAAAACCCCCCAAAAAGAGCCCTTTTTAACTTAGTCACTGCAGTCATTTCAGTTTTGAGAAATTCAATGGCTATATGGATTTTCACCATCTTCAAAGTATTACATGTTAAACTATTATAAACGAATTCCTTTGGTAGCCTATTTGGAAGTTAAAAACAAAGGTCGTTAGGAAATTTTCCTCCATAATTTCTCTTACTGATATCATTCCATTTGAGATGATCTCTAAATTACTGACAATTTTATCTGATTAAAGGCAGTTGATGTGTTTTTAAAGGGCACATGGATAGCAAACGAGCGATACTGCTGCATTTAGTGAAACTTGCGGTACGTTTCAACAGCAATATCAGCAACTTAAGATTTTGTTACCCCAAAAGATCAGACGCTTGCACCTTAAGTGCTTCCATTTAAGTAAATGAAAAACAATTTTTTTCATATTCCAAAATGAATAGTTCTGAAAAAAAGTGGTAAAATTCCAAGTTCAAGTCTAAATATCAAGTACTTTGTGTTAAAGATGTGATAACAGCGTGGCTTAAGTGCAGTTGGAAGCCAGTTCCTTTTGCTTTTCATATCCAGGCAAGGCTTATAATTCACAAAAATATGTGCACGGACCACAATAACAGAGGGCACACCAATTCATAACGTAGATAGCGGAAACTACAACAGGTTGCTGATATCACTCAGAATAGACAACTACAAAGCCCGAGAATACCCAGATGCCTACTCTGCAAAATCCTTCTGTTTCTTCATCTTTCTCCAATTAAAAAAAAATTTAGAAATTTCAACAAATTGTCACTTCATATATCCTTTGCGTTAAGTCTGAGCCAAGTCAGAGATGCTAAGTGGGGTGACACGGAAATATTTTGAGCGTGACCAAAGCGATCTCGAACGCCAGTTCTTCCAATTTAACTAATCAAAGGGATTTTTTTTTTTTTTTTTCACGAGAAGAAAATGTTGAAAAGATTTTCCAGGAGTAAACTGCATTGTAGCTGTAGTAGCCTTGTATGTCGGCAGAAGACAGTATTTGCACTGAACACATGTAACTAGAACACTCATGGCGGGTGGCCCCAACAGAATTGCCACACTTTGCTGTGTGGAGCTAGAGTTCTTACCGAAACAGAATTGTTAGTGCTGCTATGACCATTAGCTGGGGACTGCCTGGAAGTGGAGGGGGACTCTCTCTGAAATAAGACACAAGGTTCATTAACACAGAACACAGCGGCACAGACAGAGATATTCACATCAACAGTTCCAACCACAATCTGACAACCGTTTCCTCTGGGGTTTGGTTTAGCTGCAAAGGCGCTACACTGACTTACTTGCATGATTTCACGTAAGTATGAAAAAATATTTGCAGTTGGAGGGTTCACCTATTGTATGCGATGATAGTGTCATTCATGAGAATTTCTTTCCTGTCTCCAGCACTCTATAACCTTGGCTGATTTTAAGTGAGACCCAGAAGAGGGAATTGATATTAAAATCCTATCGAGGACTGTAAAATGACAAATATTACTATACACTTCTTGTGCTGAAGATCCCAGCTGCCTAATTTTTTTATTCAAAATTAGGTCTGAAAAGTACTTAATAGTTTTTAGGTACCTCAGTGTCACAAATTACTGAATGACTCATTTGAAGTGAAACAAATCTAAAAAAAAAAAAAAAGAAGAAAAAGACTTCTCATGTTGTAATCACCTTGGAGTCTTTCCAGGGCAAATATTACTAATGAGGGTAAAAGACAGACATCCACCAGAGAAGAAACCTTTATTCTTTAGATCATTTTAGGAGACTGATTAAAACAATAACCTTGAGCCTCTAAAAATATTACACTTCTGGCAAAGGTCCCAGGAGGCACAGCCACTCTCCCTAGATCCGTGGTCCTCGGTCACACTCTCTAGACTGTGTGAGGCACCTGCAATCCTTTCTGGGCTCCATTCCTTTATTGTCCAAATCAGCTTTAACGACGAGCACGAGGAGAGGAAGAAAATGATGCACTGTAGCATTTCTGGTTTAGTGGAGTTCTTTGAAACCTTTGAGGTGTACATGTCTGCTCAAAAGACACTTGTTTTTGCTAGAAGACAGAAAACTTCTGGAGCTTGTTTGCTTTTTGAATAATAGGCTCCCTTAGACAAGCATTCTCAAATGTTCATGAGCAGATCGGTTTCTAGGTGCCACCCCCAGAGACTCAAGTCAGCACAGCCAGCATGAGGGCAGGGGTCTCCCCTCTCTTGCCTGGGGGATGCTGATATGGGTGGCCAGCGAGCCCTTCTTTGGGAAGTACTGCCCTAGCTGGGAAGAGTCCAACCACAGGCTTGAATTCTGCCAGAACACGGGAGGGTCAGACAGGTTGGGGGTAGGGCTAGGAGGGGAGTATCACTTTTTCTACTCTTCAGAGATAAAGAAGGCAAGGGGGAGGGCTCTTCTGACTCAAGTGCAGAATTTACATGTGTAATACTGGTCCCACCGTAAAACTAGTTCCACCACTTAAAAAACACAAGAGAAACTTGTATATTAATAACTAACAATATCCCCTAGTTAGTTAGCTAAAAAGACACAGATCAATTGTATTCACTAAATGTTTTCAATGCTGAGAAATGGTATGAAGACCACCTATGATTTTAGAATATTAGAACGTTTCACATGAGAGGCGTGTATGTGACATTCCCTCTTCCCCGGAAGGTTTGTGTTCTAGGTTACAAATTTCAAAACTGTGACTCCTGGAGCAGAAGTAGCTCTGCATTTTCTTTTGAAATATAGTTATTAACTGAAGTTCCAGAGAAAGCCACCAAGAGGAGCTCAAAACCTGATAGAATAGAAACCCCAACTGCCATGGTGCACTAAAAAATATCCTTGACCAAACTACAAATTCTTAGACATATCTTTGATAGGTTTAGAGAACAAAACATAAAGCCTCTTGAGTTTGCTTCTGAGATCTACAGCATTCCTGGGGCCTGGAAGAGGGATCGTAATTTCTCCCTCGACTTCTCCAGAGTACAAATTCAATTTTCTAGATGAGTTCCAATAAGTTACTTGTCAGTCTTGAAAATTAACTGTAGGAAGTGTGTACTTCACACTGATGTACACAGACTTGGAAGATGCACACTAAAAGAACAAGCTTCAAATAATTAAGCTCAAGCTGAATGTGCAATGACCGAAGGATGACAGACCCTTCATGCCAGTCTGTATTTCCAGATATAAAAAGAATAGATTTTGGAATCTCATTTAATGACTGACATGAAACTGAATAATACAGGGTGGAGAGCTACAATTTCTATAGGATACACCAACCGTTAGAAAGAAACTCTGGGGTTGTATTACCCTAGAAAACTTACTTATCAATCACATAGTGTTCCAAATTGAAACGATTTCACAGAAGGTTGCAAAAGCTTCTGCTCCTCTCGGAAAGTCAGTTATCAACTCCTCATAGACTTAACATCTGTCCAGGGACTTCTCACAGTTTTGTTTTGTTTTTTTTTTTTTTTTAAACACCCCGATCTTAACAGATCACTTCTCAAATTCTTGGAAAGAAGAACTATCTGTGTGATTTCTTAATAAGGGAAGTGAATGTACTTCCTGGAAATATTATTGCAATTATATTTTTTCCTCAGAGATGCCATTTGTTCTTACTAAGCCTTCTGTCATTACTTGGAGCCCCTCTAGATTTTGCTGCGATCCCAGCCTGCAGACAGTTAAAGTGCTGAGGAGATCCCCATGGAAGCAGGGCTGAGTAGGTGAATGGAACCTACTCTGTTCCGTTATCTTTGTTGTAAAATTGGTGTGCAGTGATCAACAGCACAGGCAGAAACAACTTCCCAGAAAGCCAAAACATTCAGCCATCAGCAGACAGTTAGTTAAGAACCCAGAGGAGACAGGGGTGGCGGGGGTTGCGCAAGAGCCATTACCTCACAGGACGATGACTGAGTGCGGTAACTTGGCACGATCTTGAAGGTGATACTCCCCCGCATTTCCCGCTGGAGGCAGAAGAAAGGAGAGCTCTCTTAACACACAAATGTTGCACACAAAGACATGTGAGAAACCACTTGAAATGTGTGTGTGTGTGTGTGGTAATTAATGCAAGCCAGCTGAGCATGCAGGGGCCTAAAATGAAATGGACATAGAAGGTAGGGGCTGCTCACAGGAATAGACACTGTTCTCGGGAGAAACCCTGCAAAGTCAAGGCCGACTGCCTGGTTCGCGCAGCAGCAGTGGAACAGACCTCCGGCGGTTCCCTTTTTATAGACACACACGCAGAAACCTCTAAGTGCCTTTCAAAAACGAGCATGGATTGAGCCAGACAACAGAATAAGTAATTACACGAAAATGATATTTGGTCTGCTGCGTGGTGATGGTGTACTCTGTTCAATTTGCTTTTTCTTTCATAACGTTGGCCTCACGGTTTTTGCTGTCATGAGTCTGTGTGCTTATTTCACACCTAAGAGATAGCCATGGCTTGGGAGCCCGCTGCGTTGTAGCAGGAAGACGGCCCAGGACCAGAGGTCCCAGGGGCTGCCAGCCTGCTTTTTTAATGCAAGGCCAATTGTGAACACAGATTTTGAATATGTACGGTCAAAAACAGCTGGGTCTACTCTGTCTTTCCTTCCCTCTGTGCTGCAGAGAGATCCAATGCACCTGGCTGACTCAGCTAAACAGGAATACGGCTCCTAACGTTGCTGATGTCAGCAAGATGGAGGTCGGTGAGAGACTAGTTCACATATACGCACAACTGGAAAGGTTATCTTCACACATCTGCTCAGTAAGAAACAGGAGATCAAGGAAGAAAGGAGAGTGTCGAAGCCCACGCTGCTCGATGGGCAAGAGGTTTCCAAGCTCTGTTGCATGTAAACAGTTTCCCAGTTGTCACTTCTTATGAATGTTGTAGAAATTCAAGTCCACACCAACGGTGGGATCAGAAATACTCTAATTACAAAAGAATACCGCTTATTCGTGCATTAAAAAACAAGCTAACAAACTGAAAGTCAGTCTTGGAACAAAGACAGAGAAACCTGCATGTACTCACAAGCATTTTCTGCAGCTGTTCCACTGTTTGGTTAGCCACACTGATGCCATTAATTTCTCGAATCTCATCACCGACGTGAAGTGTGCCTAAAGAAATGACACAATTATAAACACGAAATGATATATTTATCATTTATAACAAAATCCAAAGGCAGCAATGTAAGTAATTAAAAAAATTAAGCTAACTATTGAAGTCCAGTGTTTCAGAAACAGGTACAGATTTGGCTCATGTGGTAAACTCACCAAAACAGATATATCTACTTATGGAAGACACACTTTCGAAAGATGGCTGTGGAAATCTGCTTATTTCTCTGAGAGAGGCACTGTGTATCATGGTTTAAAATGACAGTTTCTAGATCTAGATTGTCTGGGGGCAAATTTCAGCTACATCCCTTACCAGCTTTAAGATCGTGGGTAGGTTACCAAAACGTTCCATGTCTCAGTTTTCAACATTTACAAAATGGAGATGAAAATAGTACTTATTTCATATGTTTGCCCTGAGGATTAAGTTAGTTTAATACACATAGAAGAATCAGAAGTGTTCATGGCACATAGTAAAGTACCACTGAAGCGTCTGTTATCATTTTCTACCACTCTCATCACGATTATCTACCAAATGTGATACAGAGAATTATGATAATACCTGTATAACACTAAACTTACATTAGACCACAGTCCTTTTATAATAATTTGGTAGGCATTTCAGGGTCCTCTAATACTTCAATTGGAAAGAGTGACCAAGAACCAATGCTTAAATAGAGAGTTATGTGAAATTTTACTTCCTTATTTATAAATTGTGCATATGTTTACATACTGGCTGGACATCGTTACGAAAAGCTCACAGCATCTTTTAGGGGTACATACTAAAATGCACATAAAGAAAATAAGACCCCTGAGATTTACTTCAAAATAATCCATGGGGGTGGACAGTAGGGGAAGGTACAGATGACATTGGTGTGGCCATGAATTAACAGCAACTCTAGTGGGTAATGGGTACACGGGTGATCGCGTCACTCTTCTTTCCACTTTTCTCTACTTGAACTCACTGCGCTATTCTCTCTACTCATGTTTGAAAATTAACATAATAAAATAAAAGTCTGGGGACTTTTGCTTCCAGTGTGGCTGGTCAGTCACTGGAAGACGTTCTCACAACTGTATCTCACCTAGGGTACACCTCTTGAAGTGTTACTGGTCTCACAAAAGGAGGACGAATTCTAAGAGCACTTCCTACTTCCATCCCTACCATCCGCTCCACACGAAAACCCGTGAGCTGGCTCCAGAGTGGTGGCAAACTAAGGGTGGAATGAAACAGTGGAAAGGGTAGATGCCACAGTAGCATTGCCTGCTAGCTGGATTCTGAGCCTTGGGCCAACAGCAAGGGACAGAAGTTGATCCCAGGAATCTGGAGGGAGGCAAGATCCAGATTGGTGGCACTCCACAGTAACTAGTAGAACAGGCAACAAACTCTCTCCGGAGGAAAGTGTACCCAGTTTAGGCCCACAGGACTTCCACTAATTAGGACAAACAAAAGCTCACAATCAAAGGTCACCAAACATACAATAAGGCAAACTACTATGTGAGTCATCAGAAACAGAAAAAACAGATTTAAATCGTCAAGGAGGACAGATACTAGAATGATATGATACAGAATATAAAAAAGCTCCATATTAAATATTAGAAAAAAAAAGGACCTAATTGCAAGGATGAGAATGCAACAAGAGACTATCAGATGTGAACAGATAGATTTGAAAATAAAAGTAAGAACAAGTGACTAGTACTTCTAGAAAAGAAAAATATAACTGGTGATATAAACCAGTGAATGGATGAGTTGAACAGGAATTCAGATATGGCTGAAGAGAGTTTCAGTGAACTGGAAGATATAACTAAATAAATTACCTAGAATGCAGGCCAGAGAAATGAGGGAAAATAGGAAATAAGAAATAAAGAAAATAAGAAAAAAAATTAAGAGATACAGAGGGAATGTCTAACACATGTCTAGTGGAGTTCAGAAGGAGAGAATATGGAGAATGCAGAAGAGGCAATATTTGAAGAAATAATGGTTGTAAACTTTACTGAACTGATGGAAACATGATTATGCAATCCAGGAAGAATAATGTATCCTAAACAGGATAAATAAAGAGAAAGCCATGCTGGAAGGTAGTAAAACTATAGAACATCTAAAGACAAAGATCTTTCCCCCCCGCTAAAGACAAAGTTCTTAAAACAACCAGAGAAAAAGGAGAGATCACCTACAAAGCAAGGACAATTGTAGTGACATCAGGCTTCCCAATGTCAAACAATGGATGCCAAAATACAACAGAATGGTAACCATTAGCCTAAAATTGTGCTCTCAGCAAAAATAATCTTCAAGATTGAGGCTGAAATAAAATACTTACAGATAAATACCACCTGAGAGTTTATCAGCAGGAGACTAGCACTAAAGGAACTTCTAAGGATGTACTTTAGGAAGAAGGAAAATACTCCCCAAAGGATCGTCTGAGATTTAAGAAGGAATAGTGAGTTTACACCTGAAACTAATATACCAAACACTTGTATGTTAACTATACTAGAAATAAAATAAGATAGAAGGAATGGTGAGTAAATAAAATCATAAACATTTATGTAAATCCAAACAAAAATGGTCATATTTTAATAGTAATTTCAAATTTGTGAATTTAGAACAGGACAGAACTCAAATACTGGGCAAGAATAATATGTAAGTCAGGAGTGTGATCAGATTTAGTGTTCCAATGTCTTTGTATTCTTTGGGAGTGGGGTTAAGATACTGTTTCACTTTAGTATACATAATGTTAAATATGCAGGATAAAATTTCAAGGTAACCACCTAAAAACAGAAATAGAGTGCTGAAATTCTAGACTACCAGGGGAAAAAATGGAACAAAAAATGAACAAGAAAATCAATAAAAAAATGGAATAAATATAAATTAAAAAGATGATAGAAATCATCACAATAAATATTAATGGACTAACCTTGTCCATTAAAAGACAGTGATCATCAGAGTGCATTAAAAAATGAAAAACTCAGCTTAAATTCTGATGCATACAAGCACAGAATGGTTGGAAATAAAAGGATGGAAGAAGACATGCTGGCAGATACTAAAATAAAGTTGGGATAAGTATGTTAATATTAGATAAATAGGTTTTAAATAGAAAGTATCAGTAAGGATAGAAATGGTGACCAGGTATTTCTAGGCACCTAATTAGACAGCTTCAAATATATAAAGCCAAAATGGAGAGATCTATAGATAGAAATTGAAAAACTCTACTATGATAGTGAGATATTTCAGCAATTACCGATAGGTGAGACAGACAAAAAAAATTAGTCAAGATACAGAAGATGTGAACAAAAAAATTAACCCCAAGCCAATCATCATATAGAGAACTCTCCATGCAACAGTTAAAGAATAAACATTCTTCTTAAGTACACATGGATTATTTAAAAAATTGATTAAAGTGCTATGCCATCAAGCAAGTCTCAACAAACCTCAAAGAAGTGGTACCATACAGACCATACTCTGACCACAGTGCAATTAAGTTAGAAGTAAATTATAAAAAGATACAAAGAAAATCTTCTTAGATGTGGTATGTAAAAAACACTTCTAAATAAATGTGGGTCAATGAAAGATACCATAATAGGAATTTAAGAGTACTTAGAACTGAATTACAATAAAGATGCTTTATAATAAAACTGGTGGGATATAGATAAATGAGTACTTAGGGTAGAGTTTAGACTCAGATGCATTATATTAGAAAAAAAAAAGACTGGGATAAATGTACTAAGTGTCTAATTAAGAAAGTTAGATAAAACCAATAGGAAGTAGAATGAAAGAGATAAATAGAAATCAGGTCATAAAACAATGAAACAGAAAACAAACATACAACGGAGAGAATTAAGAGAACCCAAAGTGGGTTTTTGAACAAACCCCTGGCAAAGTTGATTAAAAGAAAGAAGACAAGGCATGGACAAACAATTTTAAGAATGAACAAGGGGACATAATTATAGAGATGGCAGGGAATAAAAAGGTAAGAGAACACTATGCAGAAGCTTACTACAATAATTTTTTAAGACTTAAGTTTTTTAAGGAAAATGTAATTTGCCAAATTTACTCAAGATATAGAAAGCCTGAATAACCTTATGAATGTTAAAGAAATGAAGCAGTTAAAAAAAAAAAGAGTCTTTCCTGGGGTGCCTGGCTGGCTCAGTTGGTAGAGCATACAACTTTTGATCTCAGGGTCATGCGTTCAAGCCCCACAGTGGGTCTAGAGCTTCCTTTAAAAAAAAAAAAAAGTCTTAAAAAAAAAAAAACAAAATCAAAACCAAAACACCAGGCCTTGACAGTGTTATAGGCAAGTTCTACCAAACTTTAAAGGTATGAATCATTCCAATATTCTACAAAACCTTTCAGAGAACTCATGAAGGGAGAAGGCTCTCCACGTCATTTTATGAGGCAATGTAACTTTGAAACTAAAATCCAGTAGAGAAAGACAAGACAGGAAAATTAACTACTGGCCAGTCTCACCCATAATTACAAATACAAAAACTCTAAACAAAACATTAGCACACAGAATCCGGCAGTACATACAAAAAAAAAAAAAAAAAAAAAAAAAAACCCCCAAAAAACAAAAAACCACACACAATGAGTAAGCTGGGTTTATCTGAGACTTGCAGAAGGGGTTTATCATTAGGAAATCTTCAAAAGTCATTCATTACGTTAATAGATAAAAGGAAAAAACCCCCAAATGATCATCTCAGCAGATGAGGAGCATTTGGTAAGATTCAAAACTCAATCATAATTAAAAGGCTCAGCAACTAAGAATATAAGAGAACTTCCTCAACCCTAATAAAAGGCATCTCACTAAAATTCTACAGTAAATGGTATTCTTCGTGGGGAATCATGGGAAAGCTACCTTTCAAAAACAAGACTAGGAGGAGGAGGTCCACTACACCACTTCTATCAGAGATGGCAGGTCCTAGTCACACAGTAATATAAGAAAAAGAGATTACAGAAACGATGTTGTGACTTCACTGAATTTATAACATATTATTAAAATAAGAAACAGAAAATTCATCCTGGAGTCTAAAACCAATTCTCCCATGTGAGCGCTGTCTACTCCTGCAGCCTATAAAGATTCCCCTGAAGGCAGCAGTGATGCTGGACATCATCTGTGTACACAGTGGTCAGGAAGGCATGAAAACGCTTCCGGTGTTACTTCTTGCTCTCTGGGGTTAAGGGAAAAGTAAAGAGGGTGCTAAGGAAAAAAAAAAAAAAAAAGAACAACCCCGCCCCGCCCAAAACCCTGATCTGAAAGAAAGGAAGCCTAATTTTTGGACAGGAGAATCATTTCTTGGATCAGCCTGTAAACACTAGCACCTATAACTCAGCCCTTTCAAAGAGGAGGCTACGCCTCCATGTGTAAATCTTGCCCACCTGAGAGTTAATGAAAGTTCCCCTTTCTCAAAAACTCATTCTTTGTTTACTTCAGGCCTTAGTGAAGTCCCTTCTCAGAATGACTGCAATTACTGTAGTAGGTATTAAAAACAATCCAGATTAGATAGCTCTTATTTTACTGTTTAATTTTTATATTATTTATCAAACTCTAATTTCCTAATTTACAAAGAGTATATCTCATTCCTCAGTGAGAAATTCATGAACTGTCATTATATATCTCTATCCATGAATGAATGTACATATGTATGTATGTATGTATGTCCCAGAATAGATGCCTTCCATATATCCAGGGGCCAGGTATGATACTTTGCTTTATCCCCCATGGTCTTTCGTAAGTCAGGATCCAAACAGTAATTCAGAGATGTTCCAGTAACAGAACTGTAATATACCCTCCCCTCCCTTATCCACAGGCTGGAGCATGTACAGATGAATATGAACAAATGGAGACCAACAGTGATTAAAACCAAAGACAGATAATTTAAATAGGTCATTTATGTGGACCACAGATTAAAGATTGTTTACAAGGATCATAAAAAATACTTTCTCCACTAGGCTACAGGAACAGTTAAGGAGGGAAAGAATCACATATGAAACTTACCTTGCCTGTGAATCATGCCCCCGTGCATAATTCTTGCAACAATACAATGATTTAGCTCATTCATTTTTAAAGTGATTCCCTGTAAAAAGTTAAGTAAAATAGAATTACTATTCCCTTTTATGTTTGTGATTTCACTGTAGATAATTTTATTTACAAAAGTTAGGAAAACATTCAAGAAAATATGGAAAATGAAGGAGGAAAACCATCTGTTACTCCACCATGCCATGACAAAAATGTTATTTTTGGTATTTTGATTGCTATAATAATAGTAATACATACATTCTATATTGTGTTTTTTTAAAAAAAAGATTTATTTATTTTTAGAGAGAGAGAGAGAGAAAACACGAGCAGGAGCGGCAGAGGAAAGGGAGAGAGAATCCCAAGCAGACTCCACACTGACTCCAATGCAGGGCTTGAGCCCACAACCCCGGAGATCATGACCTGAGCTGAAATTAAGAGTTGGGCGTTCGACCAACACCTTAGTGCCCCTTAATATGTACAATTTGGTAAGTTTGACATACGTATACATGTATGAAACCATTACCATAATGAGAAGCATGAAATATCCATCACCCCTAAAAACTTCCTTGTGCCCATTGGTAATCTACTCCCATCCCTGTACCCCCCTTCCCCTACCCTATGGCCCCTCATTTGGTATGTACTCTTTTTTGTTGCTTCTTTAAAATTCAGAGTGTTAGGTTTAATCACATTGTTGTATGTATCAATGGTTCATTCTTTGTCCTTGCTGAGTATTCCACTGTATGGATATATCATTTTGTTTATCCATTCATGGATTGAATTTTTTCCCTAGCTTTTGGCTATTAGAAGTTAGCTGTATTCCTGCATTAGTCTCCACTTGGTCATGATGTATTCTTCTTTTGTTAAGATATGGATTTGTTTGAGTTTTTGCATCTATATTCATAGGGATACCAGTCCATAGTTTTCTTTTCTTGTACTGTCTTTATCTGGTTTTGGCATCAGGGTAAAAATGCTAGACACCTAATAATAATAATAATAATAATAATAATAATAATGATAATGTTGAGAAGAATTCCTCCCTTTTCAATGTTTTGGGGAAAGTTTGTATAGAATTGGTATTATTTCTTTATTATATGTTTGGTAGATTTCACCAGTTACGCCATCTTGGGAGTTTTCTTTGAGGAATGGTTTTTAACTACAAATTCAATTTTTTAAAAAAATTTTATTTTATTATGTTGTGTTAGTCATCATACATCATTAGTTTTTGATGTAGTGTTCCATGATTCATTGTTTGCATATAACACCCAGTGCTCCATGCAATCCATG